TATATGTTCTAAGTATTTGATTCCTTTACAACTCCAATCTGGAAAGTTTATCATATTATTGTTTTGTAATATGTCAGGGTTGTTCCAGATAGGTGTACGTTTGCATGGGATTAATGAAGACTCCGTCAATTTTTGGCACGGTTGACCTAAAAAAAGTAGTCAGACAGGATGTATGATGTATGTATGATGCAAAAAAAAGACTTGAAGAAAAGTTGCAGAGGTTCACGTTGCTTACATTCAATACAAGCTCTACTTGCACAACAGTGTGGTCACGATTGGATATTTACGTGGAAGCAAACTAAAATACTTATATAGAACCAAAACACAACCAACCACAACAAAGGTGCTTTTTTACTGTAAGATAAAACCCCCCCAAAAAATACAGAGAAAGGTTCAAGCTTCTTAAATGTTTTAGGAGTAGTCTCAGCAACAGCTAAGTGATTACATATTTTGAAGGTGCATTATCCTTTAACTCTGTTTTTCTGAAAAATAAATTATATCTTGACGAGTCGACAGCTGTATTGGCAAGGATGTTGTGAATAAATCACAAAAGTGGCGTTAATGCTTTTGTGCAATGACAATGCAATGTTATATCAGGTCCACGAAAGCAGGAAAAAAACATGCAAACAAAAGAAATCAAATAAAAAGCGAAAAACACTTCAGTAGATATCTGATAAGCAAAAGAAATTACTAAAGAGTAAAATGATAGAATAACACTCAAATAGATTGATATTGGGATTTCTTTTCACATTTTTTAACTATCCATTCATCCATTCTCTTCCGTTTATCCTTTTCAGGGTTGCGGGAGCACGGGAGCCTATCCCAGCTGTTTTAAGGCAAGAGGCAGGGTACACCCCGAACAGGTCGCCAGTCTGTCACAGGGATAACAAACAGACACAGACAACCATTCGCACTCACATTCACACCTACGGGCAGTTTAGGGTTTCCAGTTAGGGTTTTCCCCACTAACTGCATGTCTTTGTCCCATGCAAACACCGGGAGAACATGCAAACTCCACACAGAAAGACCCCGGCCTGATGGTGGAATTAAAATCAGGACCTTGGTGCTGTGAGGCAACAGTGCTAACCACCGTGCTGCCACATTTTTAACTAATCTTATGAAATAGCATGAACTGTGATGCACATACAGTTGTGATATGTTTGAAGTTAAATTTAAATCTGCAACTTAGTAGTCTCTATTGCCCTCTTCTGCCCAAGTAACTTCATTACAAAGATGGTTATTTGTTAGGCTGTTAAGGCTGTAAAAAAGCCAGTGAGTGAAACAGGTGTTAATCTTGACTTTAAAATAATAATCATTTGTAGATAGAGTCTTACAAGCGTAAATGTCAAATTTCTGGCACAACTTCACCTATTTCCAAGGTGTATGGAGAGGATGATAAACTCACAATGCAGGGACTCCAGCAAAACTTAAAATGAAAGGGGAACAACTTTATTGACTAACCAACGCGTTTGGCTTGTGGCCTTGATGGACCCTGATGAAGGCCACAAGCCAAAACGTGTTGGTCAGTCAATGAAGACTCTATCAGTGCCATCAGTAATAGCAGCTGAAAACTAAGAAGCAGCTTTTCGTTGTTTTCAAACCCCTTTTCAGGGTCAAAGGTTTGTTATTGTCTCAAGTGAGAAACCGCATATGCCTTACTATTCTTAAATGACTGAAAGTTATCTTTATCCTACACTAACGTTGCTTAAGGGCAAATATTTTTGTGTTTTTGTTACTCATTGGGGTTCTAGGTCATCTAACAGGAGGAAGCAAGATTAGGTAGTAAAATATAGGTTACAAATTAAAGCACAAGTAAAACACATTGACTGAAGCGGCTCAGTCAATGTGTTTTATGATAGTTGTGTTAAAAAGTTTGTGTTATTGTGAAATTTAAGCATTCAAGGTAAAGGTTAGCTGAAAGGGGTAACAAGAACTCATACTTTCCATACACTGAAAAATTTGTGAAACTTGTCTGTTTGATCATTTTGATGCTGAAGGATTTCTTTTTTCCTTCTAATGTTTTCAGCACAGCGAATAAAGTATCCGTTCTGGGCACTTGTGATTGCTTATGCTTATAACTAATCCAAATTCTATTAAAATTGCACTAGGGAAAATACCTTGAACAAACACAAGCATGCATGCATGCACTCTCAAACATTCAGTAACACTCTGACAACTTCCTGGATGCTGGTCATCCAGGTCACACACTACGTCACACCTACCCCTCCTGAAACGTGATATTATTGTATAAAAGCTCAGTGTCCCTGAACACAGGAACAGGTTACAAGGAGAAGTTTCAACAAAACTTAGCACAAAAGTACATTATACTCTGATTTTTGTGCAATAGAACAATTTCTGTAACATCTCTGGTGCATCTCTGCCTCCTTGGTTCTTTCCATTATGGATTTATTGTGTCTGGGTTTTTTTACACTGGTTTTGCTGGCACAGGTAATTACCTATTTTTAAAGTTTTTTAAAAAATATTTTATTGAGTTTTATAATGATAAAAAGTCAATAAAAGTCAAAGTCAATAATTTAGGGGAAACATTGCAGAAAATGTGTGAATACAAAATGTTTCACAAACATGAGTGTATCGAGCTGACATGTCTAAAAGGATTAAAGTATTTAGAGGAGTTTTTATGTAAAAGTTCTTGCCAAACATTGTTAGGAGGATATCTAAAGGTGAAGAAGTTTTTAAAATAGAATTTGTTTAATCATTATAGATTAATATTGGTCATCCTTTCCTGCCACTAGTAAATACTCAAGAAATTTCTGTTTGTGGTAACTGTAGCAGACACTTTGGAGGAATGATTAACTTCATTCGGAGAAAGAAACCGTTAATTTCTGATCTAACGTATTAATTCCTTACTGGAAAGAAATAATAGGTCATGGAGAGTTTAGGTCATCCAAATACCATAGAATACGATTAACAGACTAAATAATGGGTTATGATGACAGCATAGGCACAGAAATTTTGCTGTTGTGCTTTTAGTCATTACATTAGTTGAAATGATGTTCTATTTTATTCCTTCTGAGACTCCAAGAATCACTACTGCTGATCCAGGCAATACAACTGAGACTGCCACCCTGGACAACACAACTACAGCTGCCACCCTGGACAACACAACTACAGCTGCCACCCCGGACAACACAACTACAGCTACCACACAGGCTGCCACCACCACCACTACAGCTACCACACAGCTGCCACCACCACTACTGCTGCTACAACTACCAAACAGGCTGCCACCACCACCACTACAGCTACCACACAGCCTGCCACCACCACCACTACAGCTACCACACAGGCTGCCACCCACCACTACAACTACCAAACAACAGGCTGCCACCACAACCATACAGCTGCCACCCCGGACAACACAACTACAGCTGCCACCCCGGACAACACAACTACAGCTGCCACCCCGGACAACACAACTACAGCTGCCACCCCGACAACACAACTACAGCTACCACACAGGCTGCCACCGCCACCACTACAGCTACCACACAGGCTGCCACCACCACTACACTACCAAACAGGCTGCCACCACCACCACTACAGCTGCCACCCCGGACAACACAACTACAGCTGCCACCCCGGACAACACAACTACAGCTGCCACCCCGGACAACACAACTACAGCTGCCACCCCGGACAACACAACTACAGCTGCCACCCCGCACAACACAACTACAGCTACCACACAGGCTGCCACCGCCACCACTACAGCTACCACACAGGCTGCCACCACCACCACTACAGCTGCCACCCACAACACAACTACAGCTGCCACCCCGGACAACACAACTACAGCTGCCACCCCGGACAACACAACTACAGCTGCCACCCCGGACAACACAACTACAGCTACCACACAGGCTGCCACCACCACTACTGCTACAACTACCAAACAGGCTGCCACCACCACCACTACAGCTCCCACACAGGCTGCCACTGCCAAAACCACTGGCACTCCAAACACCAACAGTACAGCTACTATCCCAGCCAACGCCACTACAGCTGCCACACAGGACAACATTACAACTCTAACCCAAAGCATCACAACAACAGTGACTACCACCACTGCAAATGGAGGATCGGAGGTGAAAGCTTCTGTGCTTTGTCTTGTTTTTCCACTCTTGCTCTACATGCCTTGTGTTTAATTGTCTGTGAAGCTTGCATACATTAATTGTAGATGCACTCTAATCACAGAAACAAAGGACAACATCTAAGGTAAATCCTGACCCCTTTTTGTTTTGTACACAAAATATATGTAAACTTATGTGCTCTGTATAGAATTTCGCATTGTATTTCTTAAATATACAGGGGAACAGAACCATGCAGTAGAATAGAGCTAAACTCACAGTGCAACAAAAAACAAAACAAAGTGATTGTGATTTAAGAAAGAAAAAATATAATAGGTAACACAATTCAGAGCAAATGAAAGTGATAAAAGGCTTTATTACACAAACCATATTTTGATCATGTTTTATATATATATATATATATATATATATATATATAAAATGTGTATACCTAAAGTAAGTGATTCAATGCAATATGAAGATTAGCATAAAACAGAGCTTATTTTTGTACTAGCAATGGGAAGGAAGTTACTAGATCAGTGAGTAGCAGGTGCAGCTAAAACTTGTAGGCTTTATTTAATCTTCAGATCGACATATAGCAAGCAGTGCCTTTAGATAGTCTCCTTTAAAGTGGTTCTGTTGAAAAAACAGGAAATAGCAAGAAAATACAAATATTTATGCAAATATTTGAAATAGATATATCGATATATTTACTATATAATAAATATTTATATTTAGTACAATTTTATCTGTGTGACAAACCTGCAGTGCAGTGTAGAGGGAAGTGCCTGTTAATTTAATGAAAGCAGCTCGGATACAGAGTAGATCTTCCTCACTGTGAGACACCATAATCCGCTGCACTATTTCTTTCTGTAAGAGTGAAATGAATATTGGTAACCAGTGCGTCAACAGTCTCTCCAGATGTATATTCTGTCATTTTGACCCGTCTGTACAGAGGAAGTTAATTAAACCACTACACTACAAATAAACATGGTCTCTGCCTCTTCTAATAAACTTTATAAAATTACAGTGATTATGAGTTTCTTAAGCAACAGAAAATAATAGAAATAGCCCCAAAATTATTAAAAAATATATACATATAAAAAAAACAGTAAAGAAATAAATAAAATCCTACATATTAAAATGGCTGCGGTCGATTTTAGGGATCCCATGTTGGTTTGGGTATTTCCTAGTGGTGACAGAAGTTACAGTGTTTTCACTCTCTGACATTATCTTTGAATTTGTTTAATATCTGTGAACGACGGCCACATTTTGCAGAGTCACAAAAGTGCATTTGTGGACAAGGACTTCCTATATACCAAGCCAGTGCTCAGGCATAGTAAAGTACTAAAAGTACTAGTAGGTTGAAATAATTTATGCAAATATGACTGTGGGCAGACTGCGTTTACAAATATTCGGTTATTTTAAGTTCAAATATATTCAATAGTGATCACAGGATATGGCATTCATAATAGAAACTTTCCTTTCCTTATACTGACCATCATATCAACTGATTTTTCTATTATGAGCAGTGTTGGAAGGTTACTTTTAAAATGTATTCCACTACAGATTACAGATTACATGCCCCAAAATGTATTTTGTAACGTATTCCGTTACTCAATAAGTGTAACGTATTCAGAATACTTTGGATTACTTAATATATTATCATGCTTTTTACAACTACATGAATGTACTATTGCTGTGTGATGTATTACTATTACTGAAGGCTACTCGCCATACCAATACCAACTAGATTTTTAAATCTTAAAATGAGTAACAGTTAGGTATGGCTGCACTATTTGCAGCAATCTCGTATAGAAAACTATTCCACTCGTATATAAAACAGGTCCGCGGCTCGAACCATAGTAAAGGGACCTCTGGCTAAAACGTCGGGTTCAGTGTCGGGCTTGTAGCCGAAAACTAGCTTTACTTTGTTGCCTGGGTCAACTTTGCTAGCGAGAGACAGAGAGAGGCGTTCAAAGGCTGCTTCAACAGAACTTCGGAGAAAAACACGAACATAGTGTACAGTCAAGTCTTAATAGCTTACTTACAACTGGGCTACACTGCCCATGAGGCTACATTCTTTAGGGCTATGCCTGTAACACTCTGCCTATTGCCTTCATATTAAATAAGTTTTTGAATAATAATTAAAAAAAATATTTCTTCACATCATTTTGTGGGCCGCAAGTAGAGATGACATGGGCCGCGAGACTGAGACACGGGCATTAGAGCCTCTTAATGCGTGTTTTGTTTGGGTTTCCACCGGCGTGGAATTACCAAAAATAGTGAGGGAATAGCCTAACATATGAAATAGGAAAAGACCTCCGTGTAATCCCTTTATTTCAACAAAGTAACAGTATTCTCAATACCACCCTTTTAAATGGTAACTGTAATGGAATACAGTTAGTCATATTTTGTATTTTAAATATGTAACAGCGGTACATGTATTTCGTTACTCCCCACTGATTATGAGCACATCTATAAAGAAAAATCGTCACACCTCGCAACAGGTGAGGACCTCGTCAGTAGCTATTTGGACCCAGACAATACCTAGGAACTACATACCTTCCTCTTTTCTCTTTTATTTCTACTGCTAATAGGAACTCTGAAGAGATTTAACAACCAGACACAAGTTGGTAAGTTGGTAATAACCTCTTGTAGTTCTTCAGTTTCTTTTATTTCTGTGTTTTTTTCAATTTTTTTTATTGGGAGGTTAAGAAGAAGTATGGCTGAAGTTAGCTGAAAAGAATTGCTAGCAAATATTTTCATATTTAGTCTAAATATGAAAGATGGACACCTAAATAAATATTAAACTGCTAAAGTAAATATGCAAATTAAATATATATATATTGTATATATATATAATATATATATTATATATATATATATATATATATATATATATATATATTATATATATGTATATATTATATATACCTATATATATATATATATATATATATATATATATATATATATATATATATAATATATATATATATTTATTATATGTGTACTAATGTATATAATATATATATGTATATATATATATATATATATATATTATATATTTATATGTATATATGTATATATATGATTATGTATATGTATATATATATATATATATATGTGAATATGTATATATATATGTATTTATATATATGTATGTATATATATATATATATATATATATATATATAGATGTATGATATATATATATTATATATATGTATGTATGTATATATGTATATATATGTATGTATATATATATATATATATATATATATTATGTATGTGATATATGTATTATGTATATATATATTTATATATATATATATATATTATGATATATATATTATATATATATACATCCATCACCACATCCATAGCTGGACTCAATCATTTGATAAACCTATCAGACAGTATGTCATTTGTTCTGTGTGATATAACCCCCACATGTCCTTATGGCCAACTGTTACATATTATGTAGTTCTTCCATCAGTGCCTTCTGGTATTTGAATTTTGGCCGAATCCCTCTTTGAGTAGTTTTGAAATCTTCTCCCAAAATATCTGTATTTTGTCCTATGAACTTCTATCATAGATAAATTACCACAAAATCGTCTCACCTTCATGGTCTTAAGTCTCGTGGCAAGGTAGGCATCACGGTTTTGAATGCACTGTACTGTGATAAGACAAATATTAGGATAATGTTGGGTCTCCACCTAATAATGGTATGAAGTGCACAATAAATGTTCAAACAGTATGTCAAACTGTGTTTACCCAAAACTTTCAGACCCAAGCGAAAGTCTCCTGAAAACCTTTTCTCTATGATCTGATCCACCGTCTGCCCAAGCTCCAGCTCCAGTCCCATCAACACTGTTAATCATGCACAAAGTCGGGGGGGATGAAGATATTGGGATTTAAAAACTAAATCAAAACACTTTTTAACACAGAAAGATTAATGAATTTTAAAAAAGGGACAGCCACCGTTGTCAATATGTTCTACATCTCTAGAAGTCAATATGTCAATCCATTGTCCTGCCTCAGCTTTCTTCCCTTTTAGGGATGCAGAGAGAGTCTAAATGATCAGACATAATAACAATGAAACACATTAAGGGTTAAAGGAGTAAAAATATACAGTTTTGTTTCAAATATTTCAGAATCAAGTAGTCAGTAGATGTAAATGGTTTAACGTATTAAAACAGCACTTTTTACTCCAGTGCCTTTTAGTTATGTTTGTACATAAAAGTAAATAATACCTCAATGTCTGTCTGAACCACACCAGCGACACATCCTTTCTGTTATGAGAGGGGGTGAAAGAAAAAAAACAAGAGGAACTATAATTTCAAAAGCTGGACTTAATTTCAAATATGTGCTGTACTGTTTGTGTTCCCAGTGAAAGTTATACACAGGCAAAAGTTAAGCGTAGGATTTCATTCATTGTAGATCAAATTCTTTGGTTATAATTCAATCAAAGGCGATGATCAATGACATAAATATTTACATGTAGCAAAGCTTTAAGAAGCTTCTCAAAGTCATTACTGGTTTCCGATTCGATTTCCTTTTCCAGATCCTTCTTATACACTAAAACAGGAAGAGCAAAAAGAAAAAGAAGGATTAGGATTTAAACATCTAATTTTAAATAAACAATCTTTTTGGTCATTTAAAAAAAAAAAAAGTATCATAAAAGATCTTTGACTTACTTTCTTTGTATGCAGCACTGATGCTTTGCAGCTGCTTTCCAGATCTTGTGCTCAGAATTTCCGCAAGCGTTTCTTCATCTGTGCCCAAACCCTGCACACACATACCATGCACATTTCTTGATATACAACAGTTATAACATCTATTCCAAAATCCTAAAGATGAAAGCAACCACTCACCGCCATGGCCTCCTGGAGACGGTAAGCTTCATACTCCACGGGGGGCATCAACAGTTCCAGCAAAAGAAGCTCCAGGTCTCCAGATAAAGCTTTCTTCAGAGCAGTTATTATATCCTAATTCACCACATGCATAAATAAAATAACACTGAATTAATTCTTATTTTGACTTGACTCAGAGTTTCACTCCTGGTTTTCTTTTTGTAATTCTTGTTAAGTTATTTTAGTAAAGAAACAGTAAATATGACTATCACACTATGGTGTACTCTTTCCCTGTAAGACACTACAGTTGGGCATGTGACAGTAGTTCTGAAGTTGCTAAACAAAGGTGTGTTCACACCTTTAATGTCACCGTTTTTTTTATTATTTGATCAGCAAACACTTCAAAGTTACAGATGAGCAAGGCTAAACTTTTATAACTACTAAACCTCAAACTGAAACTTCAGTTTCATTGCTTAATATATTTTATTGTAGGAGACAACTTTACACTTAATGGTTTCCACAAAACCATTAAAGTTTTAATTTCGAAACTCTTTGAAAAGGTTGTTACTGTTTCTATTTTCTCACCTTATGTGTTAGCTCCTGAAAGACCTGAGCAATTACTTGCCTCTGGGCGTTGTTCCTATTGGTTAGTATTCTCAGTAGCGTCACTGTGTCTGAGCAAGATACACGATATTCAATAAATTGCCAGGAAAAGGGTGGAAAGAAATCGTGGGAATTTATTTTCAACATATGCCAATGAATGCCTTTGTTTTCCAGTGCTGTCACGATCTCCGTCACATCTCTGTCAGGGTAGAAATTGGAGTAGGGTCGTACTGTTCCAAGGGTCCCCCAGTACATATCCTATTTAATAAAAAGGGACAATAATTGTGGCATCCACTCTCTATACAATATATAAAACAACTGAGTGGCAAGAATCAAGTGAAATGTGTAACAACTAACCTCATACTGAGCATACCGCGAAGGTATGGAGATGTAGAACAATACAGATCAGCCATGCTTGAATTTAAAGAATGCTAAGTATGTCAGACTTCTAGGAGGAGGTGCTCGCATGTGTGTGTGTGTGTGGAGGGGGATGGTTCAACACAAACTATTAATACAAGTAATTTTCAATAATGAAACAAATTGGTTGAATTGTATTACTCGGCTTTCTTGATATTTAAAATCTAAACGTGACAATGCGCAGCAACCTTCAGAGCACTTGTTTATAGACAGCAATAAAAGGTATGTAGATAACCAGACTGAACATGACTGCAGATAAGGCTATTTGGAAATGTGGAGTCTTAGTGAGCAGAGTAATAAATCTTAGTGAAGAGTGAAGACGGGGCAGAGGTGTACTTCTTGGAATGTTTACTTACATAGGAGTCAGAGTACTCAGAATCCATGGCTTGCTTGTATCTAATGTGAGCAAAAACGGAAATGGCAAAGACATTAACAGCCCACATCACGGAACAAACAGATAATGTGACTTCATTTTAATAGGTTTAATAGAGATTCTCCAATGAAACTTAAAGTTTCAGCTTTTGAGAATCAAGGAATTCGTGACAGTAACATATGAAGGAGGAGGCCAAGTCCGAGCTGATTAGCGTTAGCCACTTATTTCTTAAACAAATTATTTAAAAGGAATTGTTATTTTTCTTACCTGTAACAGAATACTAGGCCAGCTGTGACAAGGAGTGGAGGTAGTGTATCTTTTTTTTTTTTTTTGTACAACCTCTCCGCCAACAAGCCCTGTATTTCAGTCCCACCCACAGTACGCCACAGCTGCTTCCCGTACACCCACTTGCGTGTCAGTCAAAGATACTGACCAATCAGTGCCCAGCATGTTCACAGCTCTGTTCACAGTTTCCCTGCTCAAATACTATGGCAACCCAGTTATACTTGAGCGTCAAGCAGGAATCTTGATAGTCAGGTTTGGTTACAGGCAACATTTTCTGTGGAATTTGACCATCATTTGTACTTCACGGCTGACTTTCCCCAAAATAAATAATTGACACGCTGTTGCTTTGGGCCAAACACAGTTCATGACATTCAAAGAAGAAATTGTAAGTTATAGCTTTGGCATGTTAAAGCTTTATACCAAGATAAGCAAAAAGATTTAATAAGCAAATTAATGAGGCAACATGCTGGCCATTTCTGAAAGTAAATGGAGGGCACACTCTGGTTTCAGGGTGTGCCTGTGTATGACCAGGTGGTCTTTTAGATTCAAAGCCTAGAAACTTGACTGTGCAGCTAGACGGAACAAAAAGGCTTTTCAACAGACACATCTGATGATACCAGCGATAGGAGGATATAGATGTGATAGAGAGCGGGGGTGTTGTGCATTTTTTCAGAAAACTTATTACAGAAGAACAAATGTCACAAGGTTTTGATCTGTCCCATCCTCTGTGCTGGTTGGCTTCTACCAGTTTCTCGTCTACAGAAGGCAAATAAACAGATCTATGTGGTTATTACAAACAAAGCTGATCTAGAGCAGACTGTGTACCCTTTGATAAACTCTGCTAAACAAAGCACTATTTAAAAGGGACAATTTGTATGCATCTCATTACTATGGAAATATTAGAAACAATTCAAATTTTATTTTTATAGAGGCATTTAAATAATAGTGCAGGTGGCCTAGATAGTTCTAGTGGCTTAAGTGAAACCACTGAACGCATGTGATATGTGAATTAGGTGAATTTGTGAGTGAAGTCTGAAATTTTAAATGTCTTTTAAAGATTGAAAACTGTTTATTCAAGCATGTGCACAACTATTGAAAGCAGCTGAAATGCTAGCTGACTTGGGGTGAAAATAGTAGAGGTCACCAAAGCTTATTTGACACTGCTAAACCTTGCAGAAAGCCTCTCCAAAAGAGTTGAAGCTGTTGTAGCTGAAACGGTCCACCAACATCATATTAACCCTTTGGATTAAGAACTGGACTTCACTCAAGTGTTCTCAAAGAGCTAAAGTATGAGCACTAATGACGTTGGTCTAAAATGCACAGCAGATAATGTCCTGAGTAGTTTAAAAAACTATGATGAAAAACAAGAAAGAAAAAGATGAATGGATTAAAAAAATAATAATAAAAATACACCCTTATTTTGTAATCTTTTCTACAGTCATTTTATTCAATATTTAATATTTTAAAACCTTTCCCTCCTACATAACATGAAATTACATCTTTAGTATCAAATATTAACATACAGCTGAAGCAGGGAACACAGAAACATACACATTAAGATTTACATCAAAATATGTCAAGAAACGGTAACTCGACAGAAACTGCACAGTTCATTGCACTGGACCATGCATGTATACGTAAGTGCAACATTTCCCACAACACATACAGGATTTTTATATTACATATATAAAAACAAAAAATTAAAAGCGTAACACGCATTTCTTGAATACTAAACACCTTTTTGGCTTCACCCATCCAGCTTCACTATAAACCCCAGAAGGCCATTTTGTTTTCATTCCAGGAAATCAAATGCCCAAAAGCAATTTGAATTTCAAACTTAGATTTATAGTAAACAAATATAGGACGAGATGATGTTCCTCTTCTACAGACAAAAAAAAAAAAAAAAAGCCCCCATAAACTCAGATTCCGATAAACATGGAAATCCCAGGCTGGATAATCAAATTGTTGACAAATGATCAGCTGGAAGGTCAAATGAAAGTCGCAGAACAGTGTGAACCATATACGGAATTTTCACTGTACATCCTTAAACAAATAACATGTATTTGCCATTGCTTTTCGACTCATGCTCCAATTAAAACTAAACAAATCAAGGCACTTATTTAAACTCTTCTTTGGTAAAATACATTTTGAAAATGATTAAAAGAAAAAAAAACATTTCATGCTATGAATGCAAACTGACAAAAAACCTTGAAAACAACTTGGGCAGCTTTTGCAGGGCATCTATTGCTTCTATGCATTCTTGCTGTTGGATACTGATTTCAAACTAGCTCATAGGTTTTAGAAGGAATTGCATGTCCTGAGATGCAGTAAGTCATGAAACAGATACAAGAGTGGATACTGAAATATCAAGACAATATCACAAAGTGGCAAAGATAAGCTCGGTTCCTGTGCTGCTGATGGCTACAGCAACTCTATCTCCCACTGCTGGCTGGGCCTCTCATCATTCTCGGGCATAATGACCACGTGGTCCTTGTCGTAAGTTTTGCCACCTGATGAAAAAAGTAGTTTCACAATGTAAATCTGACTAATTATTCATGCTGTAGTGGAATGTAACTACATAAACTCATTTTCATTGTGGAATTGTTATTTTTACATTAATACATAAAAAATATCCCTGCCAGTGAACACTTTAAAAAGGGAATATGCAGGAAAATAAACTTGGACACTTCTGAAAATTAAGTTAATATCATTTGAGATTAGATAAGATTTTGTGATGACCAATTATAACTTAATATTTAATAATTTTAGAAAATAAATGCCAGTAAAAGCTACAATAGCCACTAACAACTTTACACGCAACAAATGTTTAAAGGTTAAATTACCACATTTTCTTCTCATACCTTTAACATCCAGGACCATGCCAGGGAAAGTATTGCTAGTGATGAGGCCTTTCATTGGGGCAGTCCAGGTTTGAACGGGCTGTCGGGTTTCTGTCCACAGAACCACCTTTGCTGCTGGCTCTATGTTGCCAACCACCTGAAGGCTCATGGTTGGGGACAACTACAGAATACACAAAGTATTATGTTGGAAAGAATTGTCAAGATTTGAAATGTATGACTGTGTTGAGGTTTTCGGAGATGTCGCCAGCATTGTTACCTTGTTTTTAATCAGTCCATCCTGGTAGAACCAGATGTCACTCAGTGGCTCCACCTCAGGCGTCACCACCACTCGTCCTGATTTCAACTCCTCCACGCCACCCTGGACGGACAGGAAGTGACCTCGCTCTGTGTTCTTGATACGGAAAAAGTGGCGCTTCTGTAGAAGGAAAAAAATAGCACAATGTATTACTGTTATAGAATCTGTGGGCAGGCCAGACAACTCAAAGTTATTTGTAAATAAATACTAGCTGAAGTGAACAGAACTGGCTGCACTTGTAACGATGGAAATTAGTTTCCATGTTTTTTTCTTTTTAAATATAGGGACCAACAGAATCACCACTCTCTCCGTTTTGGAACTATTGGATACTTTTAACATCTGAGATTTATAAAAATGTCAGCCTGGTTTACTAATAACACTAATGAGTGACCTAGAACACCAAAATCAACACCTTTAGGATCAAATTATTCTTCTTTAAGGCTCCTAATAAAGGCTTTGTTTGTTTTTTAAGGCTCCTAATGAGGGTTTTTCGATGCAATCTTCACTTATTGTGTAAAATGAAGGCTCTGAACTGGTGCTGGCGACAGGAGCTTAAGTCTATAAACATGATTTAATGCCATTAAAAGCAGGAAGAAAATAATTGTATAATTTTCTTTTAATAATTAATAAAGATTCAAACTTTCAGAGGTTCTCTTATTGTGTACCTCATGTTTAAAAGACATTGTAAAGAATACTTGTTAACAAACCTGTCTGACTGGGTACATTGAGCCAATAGTGTGAAGGGAGCTGAACTTTGGCCAGTTGGTGATTTCAATTGGCTCCAGCAGGAACTGGCGCCCCCTGTAGTTGCTGTGTTCACATATCACCCAGCTACAAAGCAGGAAAGTGGACACAAAGCATTACTTATGACAACAGTATCCAGGTTCTCAGCAAGATATTTTTGGTTCACTATTAGCTGATGAAGCCATTTAATTGCATGTAAGTTACCAGCCACTGTTGACTCTGAGCGACAGGATGTGGTTGTTGAAGCCTTCTTCTACCATACTCAGGATCTCTGTGTCTGTGGTGATCTCTCTGCCCTCCAGACACTCAAGCCCGAACAAAGAGATGGAAGGAACTGAGAACAACTGGAGAAAGAAAGAGCATTCAGTAAGGCCATTGCCATTGTGTGCAATAGGTCGGCAGCCTTAACATGAAATTTCCCACTCGTGGGACTAATAAAGGTATCTTATAATCGAGAGCAAAATTTTCCCTACACTGTGTGAGTGCATTTCTTACCAAGGGCACAATCTTAACAGAACGAATGGAACAGTCAGGGGGGCAGCCCATGCTGGTTAGATTGGGATAGTCTCCTTCAGATAAGACATACAAGTTCCCAGAGAACTGTTCATTCTCATAGACGACCCAGCTGAAATGCACAGTGTTAAATTGTGTCTTTATTACTTTGCTTGAAAAAATAAAAAATACACACACACCAAATCATGTCAACTCTAACTTTTACTCACTTTACTTCCTGCTTACTCACCTTCTTCCTGTCACTCTGCATGACTTGGTAACTAATTTTTCTGGCATTTCCTCCTGTTTGCAGTTAAAGATGTAACACTCTCCCTGGAAGTCTGGCTCAGAGTACAATTTTATCTGACAAGAAGAAATAGGAAAAGCAAGGTGAGATGCCAGCTGAGAACATTTATATCTGTACTGTGACAGAAGCAAAGTTAACAGGGAAAATGTCAAGGTGCTTAACTTTGACCAAGTTATTAGCTTTAAGATATGCTCCATCCTTGAAAAAGGTTTTAAGCAAACAAAAAGAAACTCTGGATTCAAGTAATACAGTTCAATGTAACCTTCGCACATTGTTTTGGGACTGCTATCAGGCAGGGGACAGAGAAAGGTGAAGAAAAACAAACTACTGCAGTTTATAAGTTATACACTAAGCCTGTCGACCTTTGAACAGTGGAGCAAAATAACTAAAAAACAAACAAAACAAAACAAAAAACCCTGCATAACCCAAGCTTAGAGCAATTCAGACCGTCTCTTCTTTACAACACTGCTTCAATTCAATTCCCCATGAAAGCTTTCTTTCCACATGACTGTACTTACCTCATCCCTGGACCTTGAACTGTCATTTGGAGCCTAAATACAAGACAAAACAAAACAAACCAAACAGAAGAATTACATGTCTGCACAGTTCTTAGTTTAGCAGTTTGAAGATACGACTCCCAGTGATTCTCACCAGTAAGATGGGCTGAACTGAGCAGACACGAGTGTCTTGAGACCCCCAGTCAGCACAGTTATTGTAGAAGCCTTTCTCTAGAATGTACTGGTGACCAGAAAAGTCCACATGCGAGTAAGCGATCCATCTGTAAGGAAGACAAACAAATACCTGATTATTGTAAAACCTGTCAATTCGTCGGTACAATTTAAGAAGAGGGGAAAAATATATATATTAAAAAAAATAAAAAATACTGGTGTCTTCTACACACTTACGCCCCACTGATTACTTCGATTGAACGCGTGGAGGTTTTGTAGCCAAACAGCTCAACGTCAGGGATGGCCTCTGTCACCTCGAAGGTCTTCTCCTCTTGCACTCCATCTTGGTCTTCCTCTAGCTGCTCAAACATCACCATGGCAGGGTCTGTCAAGTCCTGCAAGAGACAAAAAAACAAACAAACTGATTAATAGTCTGCATTCTAATATTTATCACGTTACTGATAATATAAACCATATCAGAGTTGCTTCATTTCTCTGGAGCCTGTTGTTATGAGTTTGTTGTAGACTTGTAGTCAAGTCCACCTAAACCAAGATCAAGACGATACCAAGACAGACCGAGTCAAGACCAAGGCAAAGTCGAGACGAGACAAAAACCTTGCACTTGCACAACCCTCCTCACCGCTGTCTACTGTCTCACTCACTTACTGAGAGGACAGACGCACAATCCACTTGACTGTCGCGTCTCTCACCCTCTCTGTTTTTCACATGATGTGATTGGCCACAATATGGAGGAACTGGAGCATAGCTGAGCCACTGTGTGAGAGCTGAGCAGCGAAAGGAAATTAAGTGAGGAGCCGGCTCTCGCTCAATGGGAGTCGACTCTTCTGATTCACTACAAAGCACTCTCTGAGCACGGCTCTTAGAGCTGATGCTTTTGCGCATGACACATTATCGAACGTTACGTTGTGCGTCATGGATACTGTTGACTCCAAATCTCCTGACAACTGTGTCGATCTGAGACAGCGAGACCAAGACAAGACCGAGACCACGTAAAAGTGGTCTCGAGACCGGAGACGCGTATTAACAATTTCAAGTTAAACGGCCCTCTTGCAATTTAATGTGCAGCTTTCACTTACTGGGAGCCACAGCGGTTTCGTTTAAAGACTTCGAAACATGAGAAGAATGAACAAATATTAGTTCTTATGAAGTCATTGTAACTTACTGCTCGAATGACCCTAACAGAGCGCAGTTCAGCATCACAGCCTCCCCACACCCTCCAGTCATGATACTCTCCTTCCTCCAGCAGGTACTGGTGGCCTCGGAAACCCTCCTTCTCGTAGCCCACCCAGCTACAGAAACAGAGAAAGGCACATGGCTTAAAAAACAAAACAAAAACAAAGTAATGATGTGATCTGCAGCTGTTAAAACTTGCAAAATGCCTTTTCAAAGATCACCGAATACAAACAGGCAAGAATGCCACTTACATTCCTCCTAGTACTTTAAGAGAGCCCACGTTATACATAAAGGTTGTTTGCTGCCTCTCTATTCTGGTCATAAAGTCTCTCATGTTGGTGGTTATTGTCCTCGATTTCCCAGTAAAGTAGGGCTTTTCATAAATCACCATCTGGAGACAAAAAGTCAGCTTTTAAGTTTCAGTAATAGTTTCAGTAGCAGTTTGTGAACAGGAAAATTCATCCTTCTTCACCTTTGGATCATTCAGATTTTCCACCTTTGGTTCACCCTGTGAGTTAAAAAGAAAAAGAAATCCAAATTAAGTGCAAGTGATAAAGAAGGCAGATTGTAAGTGCTTCTAGAAGTGACACTTACTATTTTGAGTGGATGTAATGACCCCACGTAGGGCTGTTCCACCCCCCAGGCTGCTGGGTTGGAGTACCCCCCAACCTCCAGGACTCGTGGTACACCCTGGAAGAAAGGCTGTGCGAACACAAGCCACCTGAAGAGCAGAAAAATAGATGTCAGTAAAAAACATTAAAGCAATCTGATTTGTCAAATTGGATGAAATGCAACACTAGTGACAAATGATCAGTATCATATTATTTTTGGCTTTACAAAGCATTTTGAATAGATCAACATCACTCACAGCCCTGCGTTAATAATGATGGAATTGGCCTTAATGGGGAAACCAAAAATCCTGGCATCATCGGAAGTATCTCGGAAGATGACTTTCTTTCCCTCCGCTTCCTCTTCAGGGAAAAGGCTGATTTCTGGAACGCTGTAGTCCTGAGGGAGGATAGAGGGAGGCTGTAACGCTGCTGTCACATGGGAAACACGTGACTTACAGATACACATCATAATGAGTAGATTTTTACACCTCCAGCATGGACAAGAAAGTTGTCCACCCTCTGTTAAAAGGAGCTTTCGCACCAGTTGGGTCTGGATTGTCAGATATTTTTAATTTGATTTGTTTTCTGAGGAAAATCAAATATGTCAGTCTGTAGGCATTTTCAAAGAGTATGAGCGAGAAAAAGGATGGGAGCACAATGCCATCTGAAGATAAAGAATGTTATACTCTTTACTAACAGAGCAACACTGTTATTGTTCTGAATACAGACTGAGCTGATGTCAGACAGACACCTCTACCAACCAATCACTGTCAAGTACTGGGAGACAACCCACGCAGGTGACATTATATAGGTATGGCATGTTAAAACAAAAATAAATATATGCAATAGATAAGTGTCTCAGGCTTTTTGATGTGAATAGTCCATTTATCTCAGATTAATAAAATAGTAGAAAATAATTAAATATTTATTTTCATGCTTCAATGTTTCAATCCTTTAAAACAAAGTACATTTGTAGTAGTATCGGACTTGTCATACTTGTCGGCCCAGTCAAGTGTTGACACTTATTTTTGACACTAGATGGTGCCATTGAGCTAAGGAGCAAACAGCCACTTGCAAGATTGAAAACAAAACATTTGAGAAGAAATCAGCCGTTCATGCTGATATAATGATTCTGCAATAAAATGTTCCACTGCACTCAGTTAGCTTTCAAATCCTAATTCAGGCTTTGTGGCAACAACCAGCGACAACAGAGGGAAAGAAAATTCCTCTTACCCTCACTGCTCTTCGTATGGATCCGATGAGGAACCTCCTGGCTGGCTTTGTCTCCTTTTGCTCATCATTTGTGTCTCCGTTGTGCTCATCTCCCTCATTCTGTTCATTCTCTTGCTGCTCTTCTGGAGGGCTGAACGGGTAAGTAATCTCGATGTCACCCTCATCCAGAGCAATCTTCTCCCCTTTGAAGTTGGGTTTCTCATAAAGCACCCACCTAAAGGATTAAAAAGAAGAAGAAAAAAAGAAAAAGAAAAGAAAGGGCAGTGTAAGGTTACAGCCTGCTGCGTATGACCGTTGTTTCTCCTGATAATATGTTTATGCACTTTTCATAGACATTTACTGTTGCAACATCATTCTGATGTGTCAAAGCAACGAGTATTTCTCATTATTAATGTAGAGATAGTATTTGTTATTACTCTCATTAATGCCAGTGTTGATTTTACCCAACTATGCGGCTTTGTTACTAACAAAAAGGGTTTTAGAGGCAGGGACATTAAAAACCTGACACTAGTCATTCACTGCTTTACAATTTTGCTTTTAATGAACCCAAGGCACAAAACTTTATGGGAATCAGAAGCCAAATGAAATCCTACTACTTTGCTACTTTTTAAGATTGGCTTTTCTTTTACAGCCCTCTCTTTAAATAGAACAACACACACTTTCTCTTTCTTATAGATGAAATTTTGCATGAACAAGCAATCAAACGCACTGCTAATAATGAAGAATGTCAGGCAGTTTTTCTACCACGGTCTGGTAAATGTTGTGCAACTCCAGCGCTGCTACAGTTACAAAGAGGATCAAGGATTATGTGAAATGTGATCAATAAATATAGCCTAATAAATGAATATTCCTCTCTAAATATGAGTAAAAATAGAAGACACCATAGTAGAAACATGCAAGCAGTGTACATGTACCTTTAAAATGGACCCATATGCAGTATGCTACCAATAAAATCCCAACACTTGAGCTGCTTGATAAAGGTAATCTCTTTATAAAAGACAGATTTTTTTTTTAAAGTCAGAGGCTGATGGCCTACAAATGCCACTTACTTTGCATTCTTAAATTAGAGTATTAGCTGTGGTTTGGGTAGTGGCGCAGGAAATGGTGTGTGAACTGACAGTATAATCATCTCATTGTAAGAAGCTGAGGAAGCATTAGTCTAGTGTTAGTACAGGACCAGCAGGGTTACTGCAGGTTCACAGAGCTGGCTGTGTTTGACAAAACATTCCATGTCTGAGGCAGGTGTGTGTTTAAGCTTGTGTTTGGGGTGTGTTAACGATTGAAGGAATTTGCATGCCCACAGCACATCAATAGCAGTCTTGTTTTTATAACGCTACCTGATCACATCCGGAGAGAGTTTTATTTGGAAAAACCGCTGACTTGCTAAACACTTGACATTTAAAAGACAAAACCAAAATTATATATATATAGCAAAGGTTAGGAGCAATTTTAAGTACAATTTCCTTAAAGTGAGATATACGTAGTACACTTGACAAAAGGTTTTGCAGCTATAAATTCTGGTGATTAAACAGTTTCTGGTTAGAAAAGAAAAACAAAAAGTAAATCATGAAAAACTTCTTTACTTATTTCCTTGTGAAAAGCTTTGTGTCACTTAATGCCATTTTTTTTCTTTTAGATATTAATGCATAACTCTGCAGTGAGTATGTAGTAAGAAAGCGCTACTTTCTGCATTTGGTAAATAAAAGCATTTAAAAGTCCAAAGTCCCAGACACCTGTATTAAGTGTGGCGTGGATAGGGGTTCTTTGTTTCACTGCATGTGGGAGTGCCCACAGGTGAAAGTCTTTTGGGAAAAGGTAATAAATCTGTTAGGCCAAATCATTGGTGATGTGATGTGCTCTGTTAACGATAGGTCTTTTGGAAGCCAAGTGATGTATTGCGTGTTGGAAAGATTAAAAAATAAATAAATTTAAAAAAAAAAAAATAAAAAAAATAAAAAATAAAAAAAAAAAATGTGGACTGACGTCTATACCAACTCTGGAGAAAATAACTTATGCATTAAGAAACAAACTGAACAAGTTTTGGGCCATATGGTCAAAATTCTACAACTTTTTTGAGAAATGCAACGTATACACTATGGACTTGACGGCTTGAAGTGCTAATTTGATATGTATGCTAGACTTGTAGTCAAGACCAGAGGGTTTGGAAGCCTGTCTCCACCCACCACCACTACCCCTGCCAGTGGCGGACTCCCTCAGGTGTCGGTGCGTTGGTGGTTCTTTGTGTCTGGGGGTGGGCGTCCGGGTACACACTGGCTCACTCCTTGGCGGCCGCTTATCGGGGCCTGGAGCCTGGGGCTCGCTCGGGCCACTTCGGAGGTGGGGTGCCCCCGGCCTCTCGGCCTGGGGCTCAGTCACTCAGGCACAGCTGGCTGCCGGCGGAGCTCACGGGCGCATCACTGCAACTCCCCCTGGCTTCTGCTCCACGGCTGCTGAGTGAGCCCTCATCTGGGACTCTCCTCAGCTCTTACTGGGACAGTGGCGCGGCTGCCCCTCTGTTGGTCTTCCTTGGTCTCTTGTGTTCTGGGGGCTTCTGGATGTCTGGAGTTTTGATCTCCTCCATACCTGCTTCATGCCCTGGAGGACGGGGCTGTGGCTCCCCACACCCTCTAGCAGATCATTACATGAAGGAACCTTTGGAATGCAAGCATGCTGATCCACACAGGTATGCACACAGGTGTACACATGGGTATTCACAGACATGGACTACAGCTTTCTTGGCTGCTGCCTCAAAGCACATTGTGCGCTGTCTATCTTGCGTGCTGCACAATATCGTTTATTATTTAGTATCTACTGATATCTACTGCTAGCTAGTTTATTGTGATGGTGCCATTTTTTTTTTATTATGTTGCTCTTTGTTGTTTGCTTTCTCTTCTGTTTTTTTTCTCCATACAGGTGACCCAGGTGTTGTGTTTTGTTTTTTTTTGTTTGTTTTTTTTTTTCCTTTCTTCCCCCCCTTCTCATCGTCTCTTCTCCCCTTTGGTTTTCTTTCTCTCCCTCTCTTTCTTTCATTCCTTCTCCCTGTCCTATCCCCCAGTCATATCTGTCCCGTTTGTAGCAACTGAAAATAAAATAAATTCATAATTATAATAAAGGTCAATCAAATGGACCAATATGGCAAGGCCATGATGATCCACTTGGTAAAATAAATCCGCTTGGCATCTTTCTTGGCCTTAAGACAACAATTCTGATGGCTAAAGATCCAAACGGGACACAAAAAAAAATAAATAAAAAAGACCAGAGGGTATCGAGACCAAGACAAGACCAAAACAAAAGTCCGTCGAGACCAAGACCATGTAAAAGTGGTCTCGAGACCAAGGCCGGTCTCGAGACATCCAACTCTAAATGTATGCCTGCCCTCCCCTCCCCCTTTGCTATGGCTTGCTTTATTTTTGTTTCTATTATTATGCCTTTTGACATTATTTTATTTTATGTTCACTGTATATTATGTAAAACTAGTTAAAACCTAATAAATAAATATGTAAAAAAAAAAAAAAAGAAAAGTCCAAAGTCCTGTCCTTTTACAAAGTTAAATACATACATGCATGCCTAAAATACAATCAAAAATAAAAACGAGACAACAAGTAATATCTGTTACCGACAGCAAGAGGATCCATATGGATTTGTTTTATGGGAGAAGGGGGAAATAAATAAATAAATAAATGCTTCCAGCACTTACCCTCCTCTGACCACCCTGATAGAGATGGTTTCCTGCAGCTCCCAGGGTGTAGCATCAATGACATCACCGTGTACCTCAATCCTTTGGCCGCACATACCCGGTCGGTCAAAAATATACATCTAGCCGGAAGGAAGACAAAATGTTAGCATAAATTATGACTGTACACTTGTAAAATCAGATGTTTTAAGGCTGCAGGTCATATAATCAGATATTAATAATAATAATAATAATTATGAATTACGTTGAGTATATAATCAGTGTTAATATTACAGTAGATGTCATTTAATACTACACAAGCACCTGGGATGAAACTGTAGAAAAGAGAATTACTGCAGTCTTTATCCTGTGCTGCAGAAGAGTCCTTTATATTGTCAAAGGAAAATAAAGCCAACACTGTTGAAAGGCATCATCTCCAGTTTCATATTCAACCTTAACCTTTAGGCGTTTAATACTAAAAGAGTAGAAAGCTGACTATATGGTATTGAGATTGCAAACTTCTTGCATAGTTGCATTTCCTGATTATCAACAGAATCTAGAACATTAAAAAGTGGAATAAAATTTTGCACATCACAAGAGAAAATGGAGGTGCAGATGTGCATATATATGGAATTTATTGAATAACAAAAACCTGCCCAATTCTAAAGCACAGACATGTTTGGGACATCCAGCTTTAAGGCCCTACAGCATGGGAGAGAACCTAAACCTAAATGGAAGCTCCTCCCCAATTATTAAGAATCATTTGCGGGTAACCTCAGTGAGAAAATCTAAGAGCTCTCCAGCAACAAGCACAAGCAGGTCTGAAATTAACACAAGGCCACAATGGTACAGGCAATAGTGTAGTAGGTATGCACTTTAGTTACCAATCAAAGGCAGAAATTCCACAGAAGAGGTTTGGGAGGGTTTTTATTAGCATCTGATAACAATCCTATTGTTTAACCAGACAGTCCGCGTCGTCTACTGCAGAATGGTTATGAAATGATGTGTAGGCTCCTACATTACCAAGAAAAACAGTTTTGTAACAACAACTTATTCCCCCTCAGGTAAACTAGCAAGGTGTTGTGTACTTAATGGTTCAAAGACTGAGATTCACAAGAAAGCTCTGCTTTTAACGGCCAATTTTTAAATTACACTTCAATATGCTAGCTGACATTACTTTTTAGCCACTTTTTAGTTCAAGTTAGTGGCAAAAGTGGCTGTCAGCTTATACACGTTTCTAAAAAGGCACGTGGGTGAAAACAACTCTCACTGAAGAGTGCGGTTTGTGTGGCCAACTCACCTTTCCAGGACGAGGATTAAGCTTTCCATGTTCCTTCTCTTTGGTAAGCTATGGACAAATAGCAAAATTGTAAGGATTAAACGGACATCACAGGACATTATTTTCTTTTACTTTTTTTTTTTTTTTTTTAAACGTACTCTTTGGGGGAAAAGAAAACAGCCTTGGTAAGGCATGTAAGATTTAGACACGCTATTACGCCCAGGTTCTAAACATGCCACACAACCCAAACAGTGTTACTGTACTGTCACCTTGTTCAACAAGTTCTGAGGAAGTCTGAAAGATGATGTGAGAAGACTTAAGATCCTTCACGACAATTCAAGGACAGCTTTAACAAAGAGGAATACATTCCTCTACTGAACCTTTGACACTTCTGACTTGGAACTACAGCAGGAGCTCACATGACAAAGAGAGACATTGCACTGGAAACAAAAATAAATGTGCTGTGCACCCAACAAGTAATTAAATAAATTCTTTTTAAAGCTGAATTGGTTTTAGAATGTTTAAAAGGACAGACTGCAATGTGGTTGAAGCCACAGCAAATTAGAGTTTTAGGTGATACTGGTGTGTGGTGAGGTATCACTTCACTGCTCGTCTGGAAGCTCTGCAGGAAACCGGTTACAAACTAGATCATGTTACTGACCAATGAGTGGCAACAGCTGAAGCTAAGGTTTCAAGAGTCTGACCTAATTTAATTCAGAAGCATGTTTGTTGTAATAGTAATAAAAAATTTTTTAAACATGAATAAAAAAAAAAAAAAGGATGAAATGTATTCATACTTAAAAAACAAAACAACAAAAAACGTAAAGACAAAATAGTAAAACAAACAAAAACAAACACAGAAGGTAGTAATCCCACTCAAAGGTGACTGGGTTTTTTCTGTTCTTCAAGTTTCTGAACCCTTGAGAATTTTCCTTAAATTAATAGCTTTGCATTTTCACAATAAATTATACCCAGTAGTTCATACTGATATCGTACGTTAAAAGGTGACCATAGTCTGCATATCATAATTAATTTGGAGTTTGAGTTTTAAGTTAGCAGTAATTGAGAATCACTGATTAAAAACTTTCACTTGCAAAAACCTACTTAAAAAAGACGACATGTGCAGCTGTGGCATTAAACTAGTGGACCAATTAAAATCCTGATTAAGAAAAAAAATGATGGAAATGTAAATTACGATTAGGTTGGCCAACTGTTATTGTGCCTCAGGCTAGTAGCTAGGCTAAAGTAGCACATTCAGTGCAGCACCTGCTTAAATAACAGATGGGTTTTTTTCTGCATGCCCTCTGCACACGTTTCTTTTGTTAACATCACTATAAACCTTGAGCCAAAAATCATTCAAAGTCAGAAAGCTACGTCGCCGATGGAGACTGCAGAGATTACTGCCTTCTTGATGCCCTACAGAAACAAACTCACACAGACACGTTTTACCTTCCGTTCCTTTCCCTCCCTGCAGCCTGGGTACAAGATCTGCTCTCCAATAAAATGAGCTACCACAAATGGAATGTGCAGTTTCAGCAAATCACATATTTAAAAACAAAACAAAAAAAAGTTTGACCGTGTAATGAAATAACTGACGACTGCAGCAAACAAGAAACTGGGGAAGAGAAGGGATAACGGCTGTCATCTTTTCTTCTCACACAGGTGTCGCCTTATGTGTTCCTGTCATAATTCATCTAATCAAATATCAAGTTTGAAGAAAAGAAAAAAAAACTAGGGTGTGGCCATGTCTCTGCAGGAACAGACAGATAGCTGGGATGGGTGGGGAACCCAGCTGAGATCATTTAAAAACAAAATAATAATAATAATAATAATAATACCACGGCTATTTAAGCAGTTGAAATGACTATAAATATACATTTTAAAAAAAAGGGTTCGCAGGATGAAATCTCCTTAATTCTTTGAGAACGTGATAACGAGAAATAACTAGAATACATCAGTGGGTGTAAAACTCTTTTGAAGTAATGCTCGTGTCTTAGACAAATAATCTTTCCCCCACAGTTTGGCTCACATCAACAACTCAGGAAGCACATCAGAAGTCAATATTAGTGTCAAACATTGTGTTACACGAGCTTTGATCACTTCAGAGTTCTAATTGGACAAACTTTGTGCCGATATTTGTGTTAGATGCTACAAATGCCACAGGCCTACACTGACATTTCACTCTTCATGTTCTTCCATCGCTTATAGAATTGTTGTGCTTCCTAACTGCAGCTGCTTAAAACCATCCTGTGCTTTGTGTTTCGATGGGGGTGGGAAACAGGATGTGGCAGAATGAACAAGAGAGTGTGTCCCAACATTCAGGCATGAGTTCTGTAGGCATATATACATAAACCAAAGTCTTCACCTACATGCACTTTATCCTGTGACCTTTGGGATCTTCACTGAGAAATAGAATGTTTTTATAATAAATAGGAACATTTATTTCATTTTGAAGGATTGTTTTAACACTGCATGACACTGGAAACACCAGCAGGCCCATCCTTTAATCACTGCTGGTTTTCTATAGAAATTCCATTTTGAAGCTTATTTAAATGGCACGTTTGGCATACAAATGCCAACAAAAGCCACAGATAACTGGATTTGTTGTGTGCATAAGTCATTAAGCTCACCTATTGTGAGCTGACCTGTTTTGTCATTTCTTACAATGGGAGAAGAATGGATGAGAGCTGCCTGTAAGTAAACACAATCATAGGATTTTCTTACTCATTCTGTTATCAAAGGGATAGTTAACCTTTCACACCTCACCCAACCCTCCACTTAATGCAACTGTTTGCATACTTTGAGCAGCCGCACTCGAAGACTTAGAAATATTCAACGAACGTGTCATCGGATATGTTATTTTTTAATAAAGAGGTCACACTGTACGTTTTCATGTCTAATGTGATCATTTCTTAGCCTGGATTGTTACATTTTTAAATGTCAAATCAACAAAAGCATTCTCACAAATGTAATATTACTCACATAGGCATCGGGGAAGGCTCTGTATTTTGAAAGTAAGTTCTTGTCAGGCTCAGTTGTTTGGCTCTGGAACTGAGACTTTCCATTAACATTGCTGAACAATGAACTGTGGACCCCCACAGCGGCATCACTACTCAGGCTCCTCTGCAGGATGGGAGTGCCCATTGTCCCGCTACCCACACCCATCGCCATCTGAGGGGTCTGGCTAAACATTGATAAAGGAGTGTCTGTGTTGGCGAATGGCCTGTGGAGGTCAATCGAGCCAGTTGGGCTGAGGAGGCGAGTGGGGCTGTTGCTGGCAGGTGGGGAGCCGATGGCCAGAGATGCAGGCCGACTCACATGAGTGTTCAGGTCTTCGGCTACGCTCAGAGAGGAGGATGAGGAATTCATAAGAAAGGAGAGGCGCTCAAAGCGCGATCCACCCGACTCTGTGCCAGCGCCAAGGTCACCCATCCCCTTTAATCCCGCAGTCGTGTGATCTTTTAAAGATAAAGTTTCGGGTAGGGAGCTGGTGCGGAACACTGACCGATGGGCTTTTCCGTTTTCTTGTGTCTGAACTGTGGATGACGGCTTGTAGTTACCAAAGAGGACACTGTGATCAAGGCGAGAGCTTGTGGTAGGAGATGGAGGTACTTCATTGCCATTAAGCACTGGTGATTTTAAATCCTCAGACGAGTCAGAGGATTTTCTCATTACAGTACTGTTAAGAGTTGATGCTCTAAAGGGAAAGTTGAGACCTCTTGTTCCAGGGTGTCCATCCTGCAGGTGACATGACACATGCATAGTTATGCTAAGCTCTGAAGCATTCACCTATGAGATCTATGCCTTCAAAACAATGCAATGAATGCAATTTCATTTTTGGTGCTGACATATTTGATGAGTTGCATTCAAAAATACTACAATTCCTGAACAAACACATAAGGAGTGTATTATAAATTGCTTATAGCTTTAAAGAACATTTCAATTTTCATGACTTCTACAATAAGCAAAAACAATCATAAAAACAATATAAATAAAGGTAAATAATGAAACAGCATGAAGATTGTCTAGCTCATGAAATTAATTTTAAGTCTACGATACCTGATTCTGCCTGATTCTCAGTTCCAATGGAGAACGACTGTCTCTTGGGGAAGTCCTCTTCAATCCCAGGTCAGCAGGCAGAGTATACAGTCCATTGAGGGACTCGGCTGGAGCGCCTGTTCCTTCCATCTTTGTTTGGAGACCGCTCACGGAGTCAGGCACGTCAGAAGAGACTGGGCTTGGAGCATCCTCCACAATGGGTGGCAGAGAGGAGGCGAGGCCTGCATTATTGGTGCGTATGCTCACACTCTTCTGCCTCAGAGAAGGCCCCATGCTCTTTAAAGTATCCACCAGAATTTCCATGTCAAACTGGCTGGTGGAGTCTTCGTCAGGGGAGGCAGGAGGAGTAGAAAGAGTAGTAGCTACAGGGTCAGAGACAGCCTCCACAAGTGTGGCTGTGAACACCCCAGTAAATCGGTATGAGTCGCCGTCCTCTTCCTCCAAACTGTTGTTGTAGCTGGTTTGTTGTGTTGAGGAAAGGCTGGATACAGGGAGCTGTTGTGGCTCCCAGGCTGACTTTACACTCTCTGACCCTCCCTCTCTCCGTCCCAGTGTTTCACCTGCAGCTGCTCCAGGCTCCTCCTGCTCCACTAAGCTCCTCCTCCAGTCATCTGCTGGTGCTTTGACTGGGTTGCTTTCACGGCTCAGGTAAAATTCATTCCTGTCACTCCACCTGTTGCCAAGGGTAATAGGTTCCTCCAGAGAGGGGAGGGAGGGGGAAGAGAAGGAGTCAGTGAAGCGTGTGTATGCTGTAGTGTCAGGCAGAGCCGAGGAAGAGGAGGAGTTACTGGACGAGGTGTCTGATATATTGTAAGTCAGGGAGTCAGAAAAAGTGTAATTCTCTGTTTTACTTGGTTTATACTGACTTACACCCTCAAATCTATTTTTCCATTTATACTCTGAGTCAAGATCCGGTTCATTTGACTCAGTCGAGGTGCTCGTTTTGCTAAAGTCCACTTCATCCTGTCTATTATCAACAGCATCAGCCTCATTAATGAGAGATAGTTTACGAAAACGATGTTTGGCTTCATCCTCTTTGGAGAGAGACGAGGTCTTTATTAACAGTGTGGTACTCAGGCTGCGGTAGCCTGAATTCATTTTGTCAGCCGATTCCTGGCAGTCGTCCGTCTGTTGACTTTCTGAACTTGCTGCGGTGGTCCTTGAAGCTGTCAAAGATCTACACAAATAGCAGAAAGAAAATAAGGTGGTAAGCGTTTCACAGCATACAAAGAGCTCCAAGGCAGAGTCTTCAGGGTGTGGTGGACACACAATGCCAAAAATGCAAATTATACAAAGCAATATCGCTTATCTTGACTAGCATGCAACGTCCAAGTTTGCAAAACATGTCACAAATTTTGTTTCTCCATTTTATATCTGCTAAAAAAAGTACTATATAAATGACCATAAGCAAAATGCATTCAGCTGAGGTATTCAATTGACCTGAATACTTTACAGAATATACCCTGCACCAACAACCTCTTTAGAGCCAGCAACGTTCTCCACATTTCAATATAAACATTAGATAAGAACACTCAAATGTTAGTACTACAAAGCGCTGTGTAGGAACTGAGACAGGCCGTTGATTCAGAGAACAATTCAAACGCCAAAGACGTGTTTAGAAGAATATAAACTTTTTCATACCATTAAAAACGTACGATGTTCATGATAAAATCTTTAAGGAAATTTTGCAATAAAAATTGTATTTTGTTATTTAGTTTCAAATGCTTCTCTGTATTTTTTGTTTTAAACAAGTTTTTGAAAGATTTTTGAAATATTTGCGTTAACTTGTTTTTATGACAGGTGGTCTCATAACTTTGTTAAGCACTGTAGCTCAGGCTCTGCTACTTTAACTTTGGTCAGTTTTCCCTCTTTTTTTTTTTTTTTTAAATAATTAATTTAAAACCCTTTAAGCTTCCCAAACATTATCCATGTGAAAAGGTCAAATACTGAAGAGTATCCCTTTAAGAAAAGATTTTATACTTAATTATACTTTCACGAAGCAACAGATCTTACCAATTTCTCAAGAATTAAGATTCAGTTAGTGTGGGAAAAGAAATCCTTAATGACTAAATGCATTTACTGTGCATTTCTCCAATTACGGGGTTGTTTCTCTTAGATTTGAGATGTGAGAGTTTTTTTTAAATCAAAGTTATAAGAATGTATTTTTACCGTTGTCTGTTTCCCATGGCTATACCCATCCAAGCAGGGCATACTAGTTATGACTAAAAGCACAACTACAACAATTATCAATGTTGTTCAAGGAAACAAAACTAAATATCAAACAGCTTTCATAAGTCGAGCAGTAAATCTGACTTGATCCTCTGTTAGTGACTCATTTGACCTTTGACCACGAGGAGAGGCTCATTTATAAATGGTGTTTACTCTCATGTGCAAATGTTGTTTTTTGCTTTTTTACAGTTTCAGACAAAGTAGTGCATGACTGCAATAGCAGGGATGATTATTTAAAAGGTCACAAGAATACAGTCACAGCAATACGGTGAATTACTCAACCAATTTGCTCTTCTACAATGTGGGGTGGAGATGGTCTTAAAAGGTCAAACTAAATGGTGATTTTAAAATGTTGCAATACTGTTGCAGGTTTCAAGTGTGCATCTATGTGTGCACACATATCCAAAATAATTTACTTGGTGAATTCCCACTACTTAGGCATTCTAGAATTTTAGAAACCCTGAAAGACAACGCTGGGAAATACTGCTGATCCAGTTTTAGTTTAAAAGCTTTGGGAATTGTTTTAGTTTGATGCGGGTCCAGTCACAAAAATTAAGCCAAAACATTAGAGCAAGGCTCACAAATGTCACCACACCGAGCTCATCAACATGTACCAAGAAGCTGATACCGCATGTGTACTTCTACATAGATGGGGTGTAATTTGTGTAACTTTATAGATGCATTTCTTTTTCTTCCCATATTTTTTTTAAACTAGTAAGAATACAGAAATTTAAAATACTTTAATCACATCATGTGAAATATCGGCAGGAAGTAAACAAATGGATTTTACAATGCAAAAAAATAAAATAAAAAAAATCATGCAGTCTATGCAGAGGTAGCAGCAGCAGCAGCAGCTTTACGCAAGGCATGAGAAATGGCAAGTAGTATGCACAGAAGGGACTGTGGAGTGCCAGACCTGCGGTCTTGACAGCTTAAAGCTTGGCTTAAATTAGATGGTGCAAGAGGACAGTGATCCCAAGGTGTTGTTACAGTCCAATTAAAGTCCCGACTTCAACCCAACTGAAATGTTGTTGTGGGGGCTTAAGAGAGCTGCATATTAGCTGTGGACCTTTTAGGTGCAGCATTTGTCAGTCTCAAACCTCAATCCTTCAAGCGGGAAGATTTATGGGAAAAAAAGGAATGCTTTTTAACTATTGTTTTGCATAAACACGGAGATTCCTGTCAAGGGGACATAAAGGTTTCTTTAGAAACAAGAGTGTAGAGGATGATAATTATAAAGGTGTCAAGAAAGGTGGCTGGAGAGTCTGGCAGTGATCCTAAACTTCTTCATGCTGGCCTGCAACAATCAGCCACATTTCATCATACACCAAATATCAAAGAACATCACTACCCTCTGCATAATTTCTTGGGAAACCTTATGATCTCTTGACAGGAATGTAGCTTCTTTCAGTAATAAAAATAAATAAAAAATTTTTAAAAAAAAGTATAAAGTATCGCAGTCTGAAACTGACAAATATCTGCACCCAAAAGGCCTCGACTTTACTCCGAGAGACAGTGCATCTGCAGTAAAAGCCTATAAATGGTGCCCTTGAATGATTGCCAGTTTAAGTCTTGTGCAAACAGATGAACTCGATCTAGCATAATAAAAAACACACACCCAACCTACAGCCAGCTTACATGAGAAGCTGCAAAGGACCAGAGGTGTGACGCCTTCCATATGCTGAAGGCGTTTTTGGTTTTCTGTTCTTGGACTGTCTAAATGATTGAACTACTAAAATTCTCCTCAAGATAAAACTGATAAGCAAGATACTAAAGATAAACTTACGCTTGTGTTAGCCTTTGAACTTAAGATAATATCTATTGACTTAATCTAGACTGTCTAAATTGATTCCACTTGTGCAGATTTAAAAACTGTTTTCAGATTGGCATATCAGCATAAGTATAGTATGTTATAGGAAGGCACACACACACACCTGAGATGAAATCCCTGAAGACTCTTTATCTAACACGTTCATTTAAACTGAGGAAAGATTACTTCTGTCAGGTCAAGGTGTGGTTTTGCGAGTATGTTCCGGTCATTTACAACAAAGTGAATTCTCCACAAGTTTGACATTCTATGGATGTCTCAACTAAGCTGTCAGATGGTCACACGTGGAAGGAAAACAAAAAGGGAAAGCCCAGTGTCATGGTTTAGTTTAAAGACATAAGTGGCTCGACTGGCTTTGGTTATACTCTCACCAGAAACAGTCCTATGGGCCCTCAGTTTTGCACAGAGGTAGGAAAATAATACAGCAGATATCAAAACTGTATTTTTACAAAGAAATTTTTTTTTTTCAATAGATAAACTGCATTTCATAAATAGGAGGTCCCTAAGAGTCATCACAAGTGGAAATGCACGTCTCACCCGACTTCAATACACAGAAAGAATGCACGACAGGTGGGGCTGGCTAAATGCCTTGCTCATCTTTCACTGCGCATCAGCACACCTCTTCATCAGAAACCTGTTGTTATTTTAAGTGCCAGAGGCCGCAACATGTTTGTCGGCTTGCCATGCAAAAAGGTGAGCACTACTGTACTTCTTACTAATCCTCATTTGTTCTTTTTCAGTCTGTAAAACTGTTAAATTACCCAGCTAATACATGCAGCTCTTCACCTTCAACAAGCATAAACTGAGTTTCGCAAGACGCATTCTGATCTTTACCAAAGTCAAAAACAGACGCAAAATCTAAATATGACACCATTGCTTGGAGAGCTCATTCTATGATTCGTGTTTCACAAATCTTAGGGCTTCTTTTTAAAATAATCATTTCAAAACTAACACAGTAAACGTACGTTACCACCCTTCCTGCGAGGCCAAACTACCGCCTGTTTTTAATGTTTGAGTAATAGCAATCTTTCAATGATTACCTACCACTCACAGCTAAAACGCCTCTTCGGTGCCACCTTGTGGTTTTAAATGTACGTCAAAAATAAAGTGTCATGAAACAAGTTTCCTTTTTGGAATCCTCCCTTAGTTATGCTGCAATAGGTGTATGTTGCTGGGGGATTCTTATGATGCATCGAGTATTTCTTCTTCAGTCACCTTTCTCACTCACTGTATGTTAATAGACCTTTCTGCATTGTATTCGGGCTCTGTTCCACAGCATGTCTTTTATCCTGTCTTCCTTCGATTGTTGGGTTTTTCTCTGTATGCATTATTGTAAGGTCTGCCTTACAAGATAAAGTGCCATTAAGCGACTGTTGTAGTGATTTGGCACTGTGTAAATGAAACTGAATTGAGCATCGTCTCACAAGTCACAGTAGATGCAAGTTGCTACCCTTTCTGAACTAGGTGTAGTAGTAGATCTGTAACAGCTACTTTCTACTGCAATCTTGTTTGTACTGCAATGTTTGATTTTTTTTAATTAATTAATTTTATTTATTTAAAACACCAGATGTCCCAAAATGGATTTGTGTGTCCCACGAGGACCAAACTGGCAGGACACACAAACTGGGGATTTCCTGCCACATGATGGCACCAAAAATGTGCAACAAAAAGTTACTGCCTGTCATCTGCTTCACTGATCATAAATGATCTGAAGACTCGCACCATTCCTGCTGATAGTTTAAAAATGTTCATAATGTAGAGGTTGCAAAGCAAAAATGTATTTGATAAAGTCTTGTGATATGCCAGTAAGTAATGCTATTGTCTTGTGCTTTATACTCTTAAAATTGTGCTGCTCATCTCTTATCGTCACAAGCCAACATGCTCAAAACATTGTTAAGCTTGATGCATCAAACAGAGCAGGTTTCACTTATTCAGTGTGTTACAGGGTCAAGGTGTGGTCACAAGCTCAAAATTCTTTCCATTTTTTCCCTTTTAACACTACTTAAAGTTTTATTTGTTCAAGTAAATAAAGACATCTGGTCAAATGCCAGCTTCAGACAAAACAAAACGAAAAAAATGTACTCATGATGGCAAACACAGTTGTGTTACATAAATGTGACAATATGAGGGCAAGTGCTCTACGTGTCAGGACTTGACAGTGGGCTGCCCAATGCTTCACTGAATAAATGGGTTAAATGCAGAGAGAAATTTCCCCACGGGGATCAATAAAGTATAACGTATACATTATAAAACACAAAGCATGCAATGTGGATATTCCAACCATCCTACATCTCCAGATGCAGGAAGAGGGCCACCTGTATCATGAAGGACCCCACTCACCCAGCACACACACTTTTGTCCTGCTCCCCTCAGGCAGGAGGCTAAGCATTAAATGCAAAATCACCAGACTGAGAAACAGCTTCATTCCAGAAGCTGTGAGACTTCTCAATGCATAAATGGACATGAACTGCTATTGTAGCACCTTAATCACTACTGACACTGTCACTTTATCAATGCTGGTCATCACACCCTGTGCTGCTAAACGTTTTATACTTATATTTATACCTACATTCTATATCCATACTGGTACTCAGGATGTTGAATTCTACTTATCATATTATTTATCGTATTATTTTATTACTTGTTATTCTGTTTTCTTTTTAAACAAACTTTAAAAAAAAAAAAACTTTACAAATATGAGGATTTGTTGTGTTCCTGTCCATATGGAAAACAAATAGAAAAAGACTTGCATCAGATGTGGCCTACCTCATATAGTGAATCATATAAGGCTTATATGATTTACTCATGAAAGCGGCCACTTTCATATATTGTTTTAGTAAGCATCCAAAACATACAAGTTTCATTTATACAATTTTTCTAGGGATCTTATATCTGTTTCCACTCTTGTATGGGTTTCATACAAGTTTCACACCAGATACAAACTTTATAAGATTTATATAAATCTGGATGGATTAAACAAGCAGCATGACAAAATTAGCTTGGACTTGGGAGAAATGATGTATATTTGTATCCATTTTGTGCTTATAATTCAAAACCTTAACTACAACTACTCCTCCACACTGAAATGACACAAACATAAACTGATAGACTGAGCCTCTAGGGTTGATTGGATGGGATGATGTTGATGGAGGGGGCTTTTTAAGGTTTTGTTTTGAACTGAACTTTCAACCCCTTGTTACTTACATCTCAAGACATTTGGATGAAGGTACATTTTGTTATCCTGTAACAATCAGAGTAGACTGGCAACATCTATCGCACGCTCATTGGATTTGCTCAGCCTATATCATTTATTTACAGAGCTGAGGCTAAATCACTTAACGTGGAACTTTCTCAAGGGTGTGTTCATGATTCACAGGTATGTAGAAATCTGTGTTGGTAAACAAGGCAGCTCATCAACTGCTTTCCTGATTATCAAAGGACGTGTTTAATCTTTACACATTTAAGAATCCTCATTGAATGACTACTGTACATGGTAATGTGTAAATGTGAAGCTGTGAGTTTAGAGTCACTAAAGATGGTTTTAAATAACACAGTCTGGCGTGTGCCGGAAGCTACACGCTGTGCATTCCAGCACAGTAGCTACAGAGGCAGCAAGAATGAAAACTTGACACTCAAATAGGTAAAACAACTCTCACTTGTTCTCTCACCAACTTTCCCTTAATACTCTTACCATGAAATGGCAAAAAGAGTTTAGTGCATTTATTTTAAGTTTAAAAGTTAAAAACACTCTTGGAGTTCAAGGAGCTTTTTCTACATTACAGAACTTTCCACTTACCCTTCATTCAGGTCAGGCTGGGCTTCCTTTGGATGCTCGCAGAGACCCTCTGCAGTGTCACTATCAAGATGGTGTGTGTCTGCGTTCGATGCTGACAGCTCAACTGCCACCTGTTCTGGCACTGGTACGGTAATGTTTCTGTCAGGGCTCTGAGTAATTGTATCCACCCACTCAGTGCTCCGTGGAACCCTATTGTGTTCAATCTCTGTGGCATCTGATTGCAGGTGAGTGCTGTGTGTCAGATTGCCCATGACAGCCTCTGCTGCCCCAGCAGTATCTGTTAATGTGCTGTTTGTTATGCCCATGCTATTTTTTGTGTCTTTGTTGCCTTCACCGGTCTTGTCTGCATTGACAATCAGTGGAACTTGCTCTTCTGTCTCTGTTATTATATGTACAATCACATCCTCTTCCTTTGTGTGGCTGGAAGTAGCATGCTTGCAACCAAAATCAGTGAAATCTTTGTTAGGCAGAGTTTCTTCCACCTCTGTTGGAAACAGGTTCTCTCCATTAGAGTGGTCTTCTGTTTCCAAGTCTACAGTCCAGTTTCCCCCAGACTCTTCCACCTGCCCATGCTGCTCACTGGGAGGAGGAGCAAAACTACATACCATCATTGTGTTCACCTGCTGAACCGGTGTGGCTAGTAAATCCTCCTTTCTACCCTCCTCCTCTTCTTCTTTCATTTGTGGCCATACAGCGGTTGATTGTTCTTCCACCCAACTCTCAGATGTTCCCATTTCATGCACTTGACTGTCCGATTTCTGTTCTTCAAGTTGTTGCTGTACTTCAGTTTGGCCATTATAATCCTCTCGCTTTTCTTCATCGTCCATTTTGTCTTCTTTCTGTTCCATTTTCACAATCACGACCCTGAAATCTCCTTCATCTCTCTGGCTGATCCCTTTATCCATTGGCTCCGAGTGCTGTACGATTTCCTCACCTAGCCTCACAATGGACTCTTCTCTATCATCCATTGTGAACATCTCTTCGTCCCCACTCTCCTCTGCATTGTCCTCCTCAGCACTGTAGTAAATCTCCTTTGTACTTTCATCATCTGATCCAACACTTAGATATGCTGGACTTAAGAGCCTGTCATTTCGCACCGTTGGTCCAGAAAGGGCAGAAAACTCATCTGTCGTTTCAAATTCTACCTTAAGATCCTTCACCAGATTCATTTTATCAGGCACCGAAGAGCTACAGCCTGGATAAACGTTTGTGTCGTCTGTGACTAACTCTTTGACTAGGATCACTCTCCGTTTGGAGTCAGTAACCTGAGCATCTATCCCGTGGGATGTTTCATAGTTGGATATGGGAGGGGCAGAGTTCTGACACAAAGGGCCTGACCAGACACTGTCGGTAACAAGGCTTTTATTGTCCGATTTCAACTGTGAACGGGAGCGGGTCAGCTCAGAGTAAGAAATGCCAGCACTGTCAGAATACTTGGAAGCTGCACTGAGAGAGGTAGGCACATATCTGTTTTGGTTTTCTGGGACTGTTTGAATCTGAGAAGCAGAAACTCTGGAGCTCTCACCAAAAGAGCTTCCCTTTATTTCACCGATGGAGGCCGAACCATCAGGAGCATCAATCATTCTGCCAGCAGCCGAGTCAAGATCACGAGAAGTTAATGTTTGGGAGTACTGAGTATTTGTTTCTGCATGACTTTCATCGTGGGTTTTGACAATGACAAATTCTGTTTTGGTGTCAAGAAGTCTTTTATCAGTGCAGATATGAGATGATGGGCTTAGGAGTGAAGAGATTACCTCAGAGGTAAAATTCTGGGGGAAAAGTGACTCGTACAGAGCTCCATAAACTTTATCTTGATGGGTGGGAGCAGTGCTGCTTTCGCTGCTAACAGCTGAGGTTGTGCTGACACTCTTGGCATTTTCAGGAAAAGACCTCTCAGTGTGAGAAATGAAGATTTCATGATGGTTGGCAGCAGAGTCTGCACTGCTAGCTAACTTGTCATTTTGAGGATCAGGACTTGGCCCTGTAACAGTGGTGTAGTTACTGTTGTCAACACTTGTCAGGGAGGACTCACTATTTGAAATTGTACTGTCAACTGTGTCAGGGGCATCAGACTGATGATATGGTAAAGTCCCACTGGTGGATTCATTTTCTTGGGGGATATAAGCATAAGAATTATTGCCCGAGGCGACAGTTGCTGCTTCGTAAGCCGAACTGTCAAGCACAGTTGGTGGCTGGCTGGCTAGAAGGGTATGTTCAGCCTGGGTTTGAACAACAGAAGCTGTTTCTGAAGTAGCTGTCAGAAGAGCTGATTTGACATCATTTCTGCTTGAGCTGTCGTGAACTGGAATGTTCTCTTTCTCCTCCAGTGAGCCGGTATCATCAAGTTGCAGCTCAGGAATGGAAGCAATTGGAGCTCTCAGGGTTTGCCTCTGCACATCCGAAAGATCAGAGGCATTCGTAAGAGGGCCCTTTGATTCTTGTTGGGTGTTCACAGTGATAACTGGGACTGACTGGGACTGTGCCGAAAGAGTGAAGTACGAGTCAGTTTCATTTGCAGCTACAGGGGGAGGTGAAGGGATGTCAAATTTACTGTCGCTGTCAAGCTCTGGTTGAGACATACTGAACTTCTTTCTGTTCCCTGGGTCCCGTTCCACAGGTGTCTAGAAGAAGATTAGTTATACTTTAACTGATGAAATACACAATACAGTTTTAACCTGAGAGATCTGTGTTTTTACGCAATGATTTGTACCCATTTAAACAAAAATCATTATTAAAGTTTCACATTATGAAGCTGGAGGGGTAGGTGATGCAACATTTCACTACTCTCACCAGCAACCCAAGATTGAGTTATAGACATAGATTTTCACATTTGTGCATTAGCGACCTGTTCAGAGTGTACCCCACCCGAATTGAATAAATGTAAGCAAATAGATGGGCAGATTGATTCTGTTTTTATGTTTTAATACTTTAGTATTAATTTAGTATTAAAACAAATTACTTGGTTGGAGTTAGGAATTAAAAATTACCGGGTCTGGTTTAGAAAAAAAGTTCATGGTTTGGCTTTAAGTACAACAGCTGCTACTTCTTTTACAGCATATTCAACAATTCATGCCCATGAATACGAGTGCAATTATATGATCATTTCACAATTTGCTATGAGACTGAGCTGAAAAAAGAAACCCAATAAATTTAGCACATAGCAATACAAAAAGTATTATCAGGACAGATATGTTCCTTCAAAATTGCTCTTAGTGATTTTAAACAAACTCAATTTTTCAAAAACCTACAATATTGATTCACTGTTACCTCTTCCTGCTCCTCGATGCCTTGGGTAGGAAGACCAAAAGTGCTCTTTGACATATTCTCTTCATCTTTCTTCTTCTTCTTTCTAATACCAAATGAAATGGTTGCAAACCTCTTAGGCTTACGGAGGTCCATCTCTGAGTAGCTTAACGCTTTGGCCTTAGAAAGACAAAAGTACAGGAAGTAAGGATGGAGTGTAAAACACTCTTTAATGCACAAGGAAAGAATTTGTTAACAAAATACACGAGGTGTAACTACAAATCTCTATGCATGAGACTTGTATGGCTTTATGCCATTAAAAGCAACATACCTTGCTCACAAACACTACCTTTCACCAAAGAAAATGCATACCAAACATATTATAGTCCCTTGCTACATGTTAATTGGAAACCATCCCTTGACTGTGTATTCCAATGGTAAGAATGAGGATATTACTCAATTATACTGTAAACAAGAAAGTGAGTTGACACCCTAACTTCATTCCTAAAAGCTGCTCCACCCTGAGAGGAATGAAAAACTAGTAGAACATGGTTAGCTAAATCACCAGCAACAGCACTGCTGATTAAAATATTATGATTAATGAAACTGAGGGCAAGAGAAAAAAAAAAAAAAACACCACACACACGCTGCCAAACAAAGCAAAAATAAATCCATTTATTATGTTAAAAGTCAAACTTTCAAAAGTAGAGCATCAAAATACTTTAATAATATTTTTTGCGGGCTTGTCTAGGGAAACATTGAGTCAGAAGTGGTGATGCTCTTCTAGTGGTTATGTTTTGTCAATCACGAGTGAGAAAGGAAAGTAGAAGTCATTACTTTCTATCAGACAACAGTGAGATATCAAACTGGGTGTGCCTGTTAGCATTCTTTCTTTGAGGGAGAGTTTGGAAAGTATGAGAAGCTAATAAAGCATCTAAATAGAGATTTAAATAAAGTTTCAGTCGAGTCAGTGGTTTCTCCTAAATGTGAAGTCTCATATGTTAAGTAAGCTATGTTATCAGGATAATACTTTACGTAAAAATGTCAACAACCACAGAAAACAAAACTATACAATCTATAGGGAGATTAAGATTTAAAAAGGCTGAAATATTTATAGGTAGGACAAATCTTTCTTTGTTATTTCAAATCAGTGCGAATCCAAAAATCTCAGCTCGACTTATAATTAAATTAAAAAAGAAATAAGTGTTTCTTTTTCAGCTAAATATCTCCATGAATACAAATAATTTAAAAAAGCTTTAAGTCCTCTATATTAGATGAAAAAACCAAGGGAGACAATGTATATAACGAATAAGCAACTTGTCAGAGTTCCCAACATGCTCATAATACAGTTTATGCATTCTACACTTATGGAATAAGTCTATCTTAACCTTTGGACATTTCTGGCAAACAGTGTAGCGCCTGGTGGGGAAACGCGAGTCTTTTTTCAGACTTATTTGATAATGAAGCGCATTATGTTCTGCAGTCAAAGAAATGTTCCCATTCATCAGCAATGTTAACCTACTCTGCTGCCAGGCCTTAATCTTCACCACAACGCTGCTTAGCAAACTTCTAGCACCCTCTTCTGGTGATGAATTGCACTTGCTTTCCTTCTTCATTATATTAACATGAGGGCCTCTAGAGAGTTTATGCCCTATTGTGAGTAGTCATATACAGGGATTAGATCATAAGCAGGGCTCACTTTTATAGGGATAACTCAGTTGAGAATTTAATAATCCATCAACAAGACTGTACTGACATGTACAGTGCACATTTGAATCATTATGAGAAGCATCGTTCTGTAAAATAAGACCCCGAGCTATGCAGTAAAACACAGCTGGCATAGAACCAGCATTGAAGAAGGGCTCATGAGGTAGCATTATATATGTTTAAGAAAAGAAAAAAAAAAAATCTGGTCCCAAGAAACTTCTTGTTGAGACAGGTTTCCGATTTCTGACTGCTCAGAGAAAAACTTTAGATTTGTCCTGCAATCCGAGAGGGGAAGATTTAAAGATACAGCAACAACTGGATTTTATTCACAAACTTGTGTCAAAAAAAGGAAACGTATCATCTAGGATTACTTGCGTGTGATACATAAAAGTGAAACTGTAGTTTGAGTCGGCTCTATCACATTTCATGTGAACATCCTGCTTTTACCCTCAGTCTTTAGTTCTGGGTAATTTACAGCCTTGTAGAGCCTTGTGCAGTTTCCTATGTGGAAAAAAAAAAATAATAGTGAAAGTTTCTCATTTACAGCAATAAATTAAAATGAAAAAAAAAAAAAAAAAAAAAAGGGAGGTGGAGATAGAGAATTGCCGGAAACAAATGAGGTGCAGATAACATCTTATGAGGAAACTGGTAACACTTTTCATAATGATGATCATCTGAGGGCAGGGCAGAGTGGTGACTTTAAACTTGTTGCATGTTGGGCAGTCAGCCATGAGCTTTCAGTTGCCAAGTATGACAAAACACTCGTCGTCTATAGTGGCTGTCTAACATTATTACTTTATTCAGAGCCGTGACACTGCAGGTTTAGGGAGAAATATCAAGATGAATCTCCTGCTTATATTTGGGTTCAAAAGCTGAGAAGCAATAAAACAAAACAAAAGAAGAGCATTACTGTATTTTAAAATAAATATATTCATTACTTATTTTTTAATTATGAAACTGGAGATTTGAAATTAAATATGCAAGACTTAAAAAACAAAAACAAAACACACACACCTGACAAACCTTTCACACAGGGATGTTTGTATCAGCACCACATATTAATGAACTCAAAGTATTTGTTTTCTTCCCCCTCCTACAGCTGGTATAGTTTACTACTTGTTGTTTTTTTTTTTATAAATTGCTGACTACAATGTTATCTTTATGTAACATAATACACAGTTTTTCAGTGTAGTTACCAAAAAAGAAATAGAATATACAAAATTTCCAATAACTGCATGTGAAAAAGCTCACTAGTTACGACATCTTCACTGACCTTAACCCTAGGTGCGGTGGCATAAACAGGAGGCAGCTTGCTGTCTGGGTCATTGTTGTCAGAACCGGGCTCTTCGTCGTCTGCGGTCTCACTGTTCGCAACAGCTCTGAGGAGTACAAAAGTTTAAAAAAATAAAAATAAAAAAAATAATTAAAAAGTGAATGGATCGGAAATATGCTGAAAGAATATCCATGATTGACTGACCCCAATTACAGAATTTGTACTACTTACAGTGTAACAAAGTAAATTATAGGCTATGCTCAAAGCTATGAGGAGGTTTATGTAACTCATGTACTATTGTGTGTATGTATATATTGACAGATTTATTGTTTGCCATCCAGTGCGTGCATTACAGAGGGTGCAATTTTTGTTGCCTAACAAAATGAAACAGTGAATCACTGCTAATGGAATGCTGAACAGAACCGGCTACACAGAAAGTGAGCTGGTGCTTCTTAGAACTGAGATCAATGTTGCGAACAAAGGTAAATTAGGCCATTAGGATAGATGACGTACTTAAAAATGTTCGCTGACACCTAAAAAACACTGTAAAGAAAAAAGGCTGGGTTTTTTTTTTTTAAATTGAATTTAATTAAATTATTAACCAATTGGACCAACCAACCAAGTGGAGCGACAGGTGCTGCCTTTGTTCGGTCATCAGCACGGCCTCTAATTCATGTACCGCTACAAAGGCTTCAAAGTCAACAGAGAAGCTCCATCAATAATCACAAGCTGTCACTTCATTAAACAAGCACAACAAAGGTCTCTTTATGCGCAGGATTTTTCCGCTTTACACGACCGGATGCTCAGACAAGAAGCCAAATGACAAGCAAACACGTGGAGCTGTCACAATTTATAGATCACTGTGTTGAAACTCTTCTAATCCAAACACACTTATTTGCCACAAGTATGCATGAATATGCATTTGGCCTTTATGTGTACTGTAGAGTTAGGTGAAAACTGCTCAGTCTTTTTTGTAGTTTTACTGATAAAAGCTGATATGCACAGGCTGCCTTAGTCACACAAAGGGTTTTTCTTTGTTTGTTTTGTTTTGTCCCCCCTGTGGTTGGCAACCCAAGAATCAGTCAAGTAACTAACCACTGCAGTATCTGAGACACAGGAGTAGTTTCTGGTAGAACAGATGTCCTAGAACAAGAAGATGAGTCATATCTTCGCCCCCGGGTGAATGCTGTTTACATATCAACACACAAGACACCCAAAAATGTGCAAAGCCTTTCACTGTGTGAAAATGCCACAGCTTAGACTTGTGGGGGGGGGGGAAAAAATAAAAAAATAAAAAAAAATAAATAAATAAAGGTCTTCCTTTGATGAAGTTCAAAGTGCTTCCTGTACTTTCTGTCTGTGCAGTGCAATGTGAGAGTGTTAAGAGATAAAAATCAGACCTACTAAAGTCCTGAAGCAAACACACAAAAATAGTTACTACTTTAAAGGAAGAGTTTCACATTTTTAACACATCTATATGGTAAATTGTTAGATGAGTGGTGATCAGCTTAGTTCAGCATGAAGTCTTTAAATCATAGTTATTTACCTGCCTACCCAGTCTTCTAAGCTAACCCCATACACAAACACGGGTATCATTTTTTACTCTGTAGTCACCAATGACCCACTACTCTACAGTTCCATTAGATGACCCATAATTTTAACATTTCAGAAACAAAAATAACTTTTATACTGCTAGTACTAGATACTCGTTAGTCCTTCACCGTGTCACTTTTGAGTGAAGAGAATGAGGGCTTCTTCTATACTAGCTGGTTATGAAAACTACACTTTTTCATTACACCACATATTTCAAGCCTGTAGAACAAAAATGTAATCCACCTTTTGGCCAAATTACATTTCCTGTATTCCTTAGTGTTGAATATTTCACAATTTTACTCTCATTAAATTGTGAACATAATCTTTAATCCCTGAAATGATTCCATCTTGAGCCATCAGGTTATCACTGTGTTCAAACTTCACCAAAGTCTGACCAAATCCTACTGCCTGTAATGATTGTTGTGAACTGTTGACATGCAGAATGGAGGACAAATAAACATGGTAGGAGCTCGTCCGTCTTTCGCCTGGATGACCTAATCATTATGTACAATGCCAATGCATTATTTCGGTGCCTGGGTTACTGAGCCTTTATAAGTTTGATCCTTTTACTATGTAAAAACTACATCTGGAAGTTCATGTTTTTTGTTTTTTTGTTTTTTTAAATGTTCATGGTCTTGTCTATGTGAAACTTTATTCTAATGCTCTGTGTGCATGCAGTGTCAAATCAGAAAGTAATACCTGCTCTTATTAAACCACCTAGTAGTGGGTAAACACTGTAAATGAATACTTGATTATTCATTAATCCACACCGAAACAAACATGTTGCTAGTATTTCAAGAGAGCCTTATTGCCAGCTGTTGGCATCACCACTTTAACGCACCTCTTTTAAAGTATAACACCTTCATGTTTAACTGTTGTGTTATTTAGAACAGCGGTCCCTAACCCCCGGGCCTCGGACCGGTCCGTGAGTCGTTTGGTACCGGGCCGCGAGAGTTGAGGCTCAGGTGTGAAATGTATGGTTTTCAGGGGTTTTTTTTAATCGGTTTTCAGCGTTATTTTGTTATCGTTTTGATCGTTAACTCGGTTTTCCTGGGTCTTTTCACGTGTGTTATGAATAAATCTTTTTTTCGGTACCAGTATTAGTTTTAATTTGTTGTATTTATCCGCGACACCTTAAAGGCTGGTCCGTGAAAATAATGTCGGGCTTAAACCGGTCCGTGGCGCAACAAAGGTTGGGGACCGCTGATTTAGAATACACAGCTATCACCATTTGATGCTCATCACCACAATCACGCACTTTTTAGAATACAGACACAATAAAAGCGTTAACAACGGTTTCTTTGTCATCTGCAGGAAAACATCCCACAGTTTAAAAACATAAATAAATAAAATCCATGTTTGTGTGGCAAGTGTACTGATAAAGATCCAAAGAAGTGTAGTGTTGACAGTTATTTGGAAGACCAGTTCTCAAATTTTGGATAACATTTACTCTCACAATTGTTGGCATGGGAGGTGTTGAGAACTCTGATGAAGTCCAACCACATGACCCATCACAATTTTCAATCTGGGAAAGGAAAAAAACAACAACAACAACAACAAAAAACCCAACATATAGCGAGAGAGTTTTTTAAATTTGGCTGTTGATTCTTTAGAAACGGCACCAGAGGAGCTGAAACACTTCTTTGCTCGCTTTGAGGTGTCCCACCCATCACAGTCCCCTTACCAAAAAGGGAAAAAAAAAAAAAAAAAAAATCTACTGCAACCTGCCTGTATGACCAGCCAGTAGTGCTCACCCTTGTTGTGGATTTCAGAAAAAAAGAAAAACAGACATTAAACCACTTTACATCAATGGTGTTGGGGTTGGACTTCCACTTCCTGGGAATCCCCATCACAAGGACCTGTCCTGGGGTGTGTACAAAGGGGAGCTGGCAAAGAAGGCTCAGCAGAGACTTTATTTCCTGTGAATCCTCAGGAAAAATAACATCCCTCAAAAGCTGCTGTTGTCCTACTATCAATGTTCTAACAAAAGCATTCTATGCTACTGCCTGTGTGTTGTTACCCTCTCTGGACAAACTGCAAAGCTCTCGCCGTCACAGGAAAGCAGGAAATACCATAAAAGACAAAATAAATAAACAATGCCCAAACTCATCATGCACAACAATTAGCAATAATTTGATCTCATTGTGAAAACACATTTCCAATAAGAGCTGCAGAAAACCTCCCATTCTTGACATCTTACCTCTGAAATATTATTTGAAGTTATCAACTAGACTGTCCTTGTCAAGTGGAATCAATGCCCCTTTATCACCAAGAACTGACTGAATAGAACAAATATGCACGTATGAATGACTTAAACAGCATGACTTGTGTAGCAATGCACTGCTCAAAGCATATCCTTGGTTTGAAGTACAAGGCCTTCTCTGACTGATCCATTTTTCAGCACTTTGTTATACAATTTAATGCGGTGGTGTGAAGAAGAAAAAAAAAAAACAACCCACTGCCAAAATACAGCATTCTTAACTCAACACACATTGAGTTTTACCTTGCTTACTCTTCTGGAACAGACATAACAGGTTCAACAATACAGTGACTTATTATGAACTCAGCTGGATGTATTAAACACCCTTGTGCTGAGACATAAATGTTACCAGCATGCATCACCAAACACAATAGTGTAGCTTGTGTGTCCAATTGATTTGTAGTTTCATGACAATGCAACAGGCATGTGGAGCGGCAGGTTTGTCTACAGAACTTCCACTAATCCATAAAGCCACAAAAGAGCGCGACAACCTAAAGAGTGGGTGTGTGTGGTTTGTTTGGAACTTCAAGTTTCCTGCAACGTAATACACTGGTGGTAAGGTTTCCAACACATCCAGTGTGACTTTGACCTCACCCTTGAACTTTATGAAAAGAGATGGGAGTCAAAACAAACAGATTTATTTCTTAGATGATGAAATCCTCAAGTCTTGATAGATAAAATCTGGAACATGGATTAAAACAAAATCCTCAAACTAATAACAAAAACAAATTCAGTCTACATCTGGAAACAAGTCTATCTTGGTTGACCATCCACAGTGTCAACAATTAAAAAAAATCCTTTCATTCACAGCAAAACAATGTAATGTAATTCTGCACTTAATAGTTTATAAAATGATTTCTAGATGTGGCTCGTATAGACAATCAGTGGATAAAAGACTACCAAGACTGACCTGAATATATGTTTCATTCTGCTTTATGTTTACACTACTGCAATATTTGATTGATTATCAGGGCAATCGTGGCTCAAAGAGTTGGCAGTTCGTCTTGTAATCGGAAGGTTGCCGGTTCGAGCCCCGGCTCGGACAGTCTCGGTCGTTTTGTCCTTGGGCAAGATACTTTACCCTACCGCCTACTGGCGATATGGCAGCCTCGCTTCTGTCAGTCTGCCCCAGGGCAGCTGTAGCTGCCTCCACCAGTGTGTGAATGAATAGTGGAATTGTAAAGCGCTTTGAGGGCCCCGAAAAGCGCTGTATAAATGCAATCCATTATTATTATTTTTGAATGATGCATGATTTTTTTTATGCATCGTTTAAAAACTTTACCCTTGCATAACCTCCATGTGCAAAGGCAGTCACAGTGTCAGCTCGCTGTTTATTTTTCTCTGTGCAAACACAAACCGTCACTGGCGCTCGTCTACAAACACATGAACAATATGATTCTATTGTCCTGGCCTGTGATTAGTAGCTTAACCTCCACCCCACCTGTGTCTATATGCACACCCAATGGTGACTTATACATCCTTACAGCTTTAAAGCATGTCTTGTTTATTGCCTTGCAAACATTTGTGACCAAAATCACCATTCACACATTTTATTCTGCTACCTGCCACCTACTATGAAACACCGAAGACCTCAAGGTAAGGTTGAAATCTACCAACCAGATCAACTAAGTCAATGTTTACCCTGGAGAATAAAATGAACATATCCTGTTTTTTTATGACTTGGAACTCCTGAAACCGTTGGGGTCTCATGCACAGCTATAATTTATGAATAGACAGCATAAAATGGGCTTGTGAGGGAGGCCCTGACAGAAAAGTCTAAACTAACAATATAGAAAAAAAACCTAGGTTTACACTGGACGCCTTTCCATTTGATTATTTTCGTCTGGTTTGAATTCTGCATTATATCAGATAATGGTAGATTATAATGAAGATTGAATTTGAGCTTCAAGGTGATTTTTCTAACAGAAATTTGCCTCAAAAGGGGTGGGGCTTGTGAAATGGCCTAGTTAAGCACCAGATTTGAATTATTGGGGGTTACAAACTGAGGACACATGCAAACGTTTTGCTGCTGAATTTTTTTTTTTTTTTTTTTTTTTTGCATGCAAGCTCGATATCAGTTTCCAGCATGCCATATCATAAGACTATGGACAAATATGCAAAAAGCATGTTTCTGCTGAAGGGGACAGTGCTAAGCTAAGTATGCTCTTACTTTTATCCAACTCTAAAGTCCCTTGTGGCTCTATAATTATATTTAAGTGTACTACCCATTTCAAAAGTTGTTGGGATGTTTGCCCAAAAGCTCACAGTCTAGAAACATCTCAACTTTTTTTTTCCACAGCAGTGAGGATTGCTTAATTGGGACTTTTCATTTAGGCTACCAATGGAAACAGCAGGCGCAGGCTACTTGCTGAAAACTAAAGTTTATCTGAAGCTTTGCTGCTCTTTAAAGCGTCAGAAGCTGCTTATTACCCCTTGAGCAATACAGCAAATGCAGGCATGAAAACAGGTCACTGAGTCAACATCACGACACTGGGTAAGCATACCTGAGCACCTTCTGGCTGTCATTAGCTGACTTCTCAGAGTCCTTCTTGGACTTTGTCTTGAATTTGAACAACTTGAACTTCTTCTTCTCCCCTTCGTTTTTCTGCACATCCTTCTCCACCGATTCGTCCAAGTTGGCTTCGCTCTTGGAGAACAAACTTTTCAGAGACTTTCTGGTTGAACTCCTCTTCGCCATCTCTAGTCTACTGGGTAACGTCAGAGGGCCGAGTGAGTCGGGTCTTCTTCCCCACTGATCATTCAAAGCCGATGAAAACAGGCGAGGGGCAGAAAAGACTTACTGACAGCTGTTGCTCTGGCTGCCTCATTTTGTGTGCAGCACGCAGAGCTCAGGTGCGGGACACGCCCCCCGGGGAACACCCAGCTCAGACAAACAATGACACTCACTGCAGATGATCACCGGTCTTGTTAACATATTTTTGCAATGGCAACAACTTCGGGAAATTAGTGCAATTTGTTTTTATTGGCTTTACTGTCTTTGGTGTTACGTAGTTCAGCAATTATTACCCACAGAAATTCAACGGTTTATTAAAAATACACTGTCAAGGGCCTTAATATGCATATGTAAAGACCATAAAGGCCAAATTTTTACATTTTTTTTTAAAATAAAAAAGATGTTTTAGGTGCTAATGTAATAAAAATAAGAATAATAATCTCGATTTAATTAATTAATGCTTTAGTCAGATATGAAGGGAGCCTTAACATGGTCAAAGCTTTCTGCTTTTAAGATAAGATAAGATAACCTTTATTAGTCCCACACGTGGGAAATTTGTTTTGTCACAGCAGGAAGTGGACAGTGCAAAAGTTATGAGGCAAAAATTAGAATACAATAAGAATAAATACAGTACACAACTGTACAGAATAGAATAAAATAACTATATACAGTAGAATAAAATAAAATAAATATACAATAAGATAAAAATAGAATACAAATACAAATGCTATATACAACTGAGTAAAAATACAACGATGACAGAAAGGATTATTGCACTTAGTATTATTGCATATGTATGGATGTGTGTGTTGATCAGTTAAAGTTCTTTATTATGGAGTCTGACAGCAGTGGGGAGGAAAGACCTGCGAAATCTCTCCGTCCCACACCGTGGGTGCCGCAGTCTCCCACTGAAGGAGCTGCTCAGTGCTGTCACAGTCTGCTGCATGGGGTGGGAGATGTTGTCCAACAGGGATGACAGCTTAGCCGCCGTTCTCCTGTCACTCACCACCTCCACTGGGTCCAGAGGGCATCCTAGAACAGAGCTGGCCCTTCGGATCACCCTGTTCAGTCTCTTCCTGTCCCCAGCAGAGATGCTGCCGCCCCAGCAGACCACACCATAAAAGATAGCAGAAGCCACAACAGAGTCATAGAAGGTCTTCAGGAGTGGGCCCTCCACTCCAAACGACCTGAGTCTCCGCAGCAGGTACAGCCTGCTCTGCCCTTTCCTGTAGAGGGCGTCTGAGTTATGAGTCCAGTCCAGTCTGTTGTTCAGATGAACACCAAGGTACCTGTAGCTGTCCACAGCCTCAATGTCCATACCTTGGATGTTCAGTGGTTGAAGTGGAGAATGCTTGTGCCTGCGGAAGTCTACCACCAGTTCCTTGGTTTTACTGGCGTTGATCTGGAGGTAGTTCAGCTGGCACCAGTCCACAAAGTCTTGGGTCAGTCCTCTGTACTCCCTGTCGTCCCCATCAGTGATGAGGCCGACTATTGCAGAGTCATCAGAGAACTTCTGCAGGAAGCACTGGGTGGAATTGTGGGAGAAGTCTGCAGTGTAGATGGTGAAGAGGAACGGAGCCAGAACCGTTCCCTGTGGGGCCCCCGTACTGGAGACGACCCTGTCCGACACACAGCCCTGAGTCCTCACATACTGTGGTCGGTCGGTGTAAATCTATCTATCTATCTATCTATCTATCTATCTATCTATCTATCTATCTATCTATCTCATCTATCTATCTATCTATCTATCTATCTATCTATCTATCTATCTATTTCTATCATATCTATCTATCTATCTATCTATCTATCTATCTATCTATCTATCTATCTATCTATCTATCTATCTATCTATCTATCTATCTATCTATCTATCTATCTATCTATCTATCTATCTATCTATCTATCTATCTATCTATCTATCTATCTATCTATCTATCTATCTATCTATCTATCTATCTATCTATCTATCTATCTATCTCGTCTATCTATCTATCTATCTATCTATCTATCTATCTACTATCTATCTATCTATCTATCTATCTATCTGTCTGTCTTCGTCTGTCTGTCTGTCAATGCGTTGTTTGTATGCAGTCTCCACGGTTCTAGGACGACATCGCCTGGCCTGTGTGCAGTTTGCAAGTCAATCATCAGGCGTGTAGATTGCTTTGCCACAAGATGGCATCCCAAGATTGCTCAGTCAAATCAGAGCGCTCTAGCTGCTCAAAGTTCAAGCATGTTACCTGTTAAACCTGTTGACTGAGGTGATGGATTGTGCATAAAATAAGGAACAAACAGAGAATAAACTGATTTCTTCCTCCTTGTTCCCAGTAGTGTTACATGTTATGGCTCATATAACTCTCTCATGTGGCGATGAGTGAAGAAAAAGAAGCCCTAATTTGACTTAAACCGTTTCTGATAAGATAAAGAGTTGTCATTTGTTTGGTCATACACTAACGCTTTGCTGCATTTCTTTACTGAGAGGGCCCCTACTCTTTTTCTATCATGGTGCATGACAGAGAGAGAGAGTGAGCAGATGACAAAGATAAGACACGGAAAACACAAAACACATGATCTCGCTTTTATTGGGGGGGTTGGGGTGAGCTCATTCTGGTCACATTGTACTGGGAATCCCCTTTGGTGGCCTGTTGGAGCACGGTGTGAGAGACTTTGAGAAGAAAAGGGTGTTTTTGAACATTGGGGGCTGAAGATTTAGGTTTAGCACAGGAAAAAAAAAAGATTAAAAATACCTTAAAGGTTTAATCCTCACAATTACTAAAAATGTACATGTACCAATTTGTGCATCACATTCTACAGTGAGAGACTCCGTGACATTCCTCTCCTATACAGTCTAGTTTTACTTTATATTTACTTTAACACTGCTTCCCCATTGCCAACTCTACCCAACCAACCAACTAAAAAATAAAATAAAATAAATAAATCATCTATCCAGTCCATCGATGAAAAAGTTAGCTGCAGTGGTACCGTAAGTAAGAGCATAATGTGCTGGAATCAGAGGTTAAAATGAAGTAGTAGGTAAAATCCTGTGAAATGTAATTGTTGGGTTTTTGCTGATTATCAGCAAATGTTCTGAAGCAAATGAGAGAAATTGTGTGATTATGAACTCACATAACAGAATGAAAACCACCCATTTTTTATCTTTATATGTGAAACCTTTAGACCCATTTAGCTGACTGCTACAACGTCACAACCTTGTGTTATTACTCAGTGCCCCACACCCATGTTTATTGCCTTTACCGCTGACTAAAAATAACTGCTACTGAAAGTCAAACATTAAGGCAGGATGAAGTTCAACAGAATTTATTAATCCAGGTGAAACATGATTCAAAGGAAGCACATAAAAAAAATGGAAACATTTGAAAAAACCAACACATTTGTTGTCTTTTTACAACAATCACTGGCTATCAGTGAGCTAAACTGAAAGGGAATGCTGTCAGGAAAAAGGGCTGTGTGTTTGTTCACTCAAGGCATAGCCACCGGCATGAAAAAGCACGCAAATAAACACAACCATCCCTTTTAACATTATCGTCCTTGGAATCTTTCTCTTGAATTAAGACAGAAAGCTATTTAAAGCTCAGGGGTCATAGCATTTGTTCGTGAGATAAAACATCACGAAGCGATTTGGTGCTTGTCCAATACAGGCCCTCCTCTCCAGGTAAGAGGCCAAGGGGCAAGAGGCTTGGTTACTTTTAAAAACAGTCATCAATTACTCACCTATTGCTCTGCTGCTGTGTATAATGTTAAACAGACATGTGACCAATTGCTACAAACTTAACTTTTATGTTTTTGTTTAGGTTTTTTAAATTGCTTACATTTTATTATGTAATCTTTTGCCAAATTATTAATATTTGAATTTAAGCAAACGTCCTTTCTCTCACACACAAATTGGCCACATCTATATACCCACAGTATGAGTATACTGTGATTATACTGACATGAAGAAAAACAGATTTGAAATGTTATGGATAGCTTCAAGCATTTCAGATTGAATAAGTCACAGTTATATGATTAATAAGGGCAGGTCATGTGTTTTAATTTACATCCTCTTTTAATCACCTTCTATTAACTGCCTAAAGTGTTAAATTCAAAGTGGTCAATCACTTACTGTAACAACTTCTGATGTCACCTTGCTTTTTTTTTTTTCAATCTGACAGGGTAAATTTCCCAAATTACTAACTCAAAGGTAACTTGTTACAAAGTTATCAAACCCCAATCCTGTGACTAATGGACAATCTAACACAGCGGTCCCCAACCTTTTTTGCACCACGGACCGGTTTATGCCCGACAATATTTTCACGGACCGGCCTTTAAGGTGTCGCGGATAAATCCAACAAAATAAAACTAGTACCGGTACCGAAAAAAAAGAAGATTTATTCATAACACATGTGAAAAGACCCAGGAAAACCGAGTTAACGATCAAAACGATAACAAAATAACGCTGAAAACTGATAAAAACCCTGAATACCATACATTTCACACCTGAGCCTCAACTCTCATGGCCCGGTACCAAACGACTCACACACCGGTACCAGTCCGAGGCCCAGGGGTTGGGGACCGCTGATCTAACATACAGTATGCACAAGCCACAGTGAAACTAATTCTGTGAGTAGCAATTTAAGGTTATATGTCATAACCCTTCAGCATCATCTGAAGGGTTATGATATTTCTGGTTATGACTGGATGTGTAAAGCGCTTTGGGGTCCCTAGGGGGGACTAGTAAAAGCGCTATACAAATACAGGCCATTTACCATTTCAAGACATAAAACTACAGCCAAGTTGAGCGCTACACCCTCTGGCTGATCTGCTCCCGTGCCAAATTTTGTATGATGTGTTCAATCTATGTTTTCACCTGCAGCCAAGTACTCTTTGCCTAACCTGTTGCACAGCAATGGCATGCTGTCAACTGTCATTCAAAGATATTCTTTTTTAAGATCAAAGGTGTTGACCAATGTATTGAACGATAAATGTTTCATTGAGTTGTTAAACAAATAAATATAGCAGGTAGAAATAACTCATCTGCAGTTAAATAAATCTTGCCAATAGGGATAAATGAGACCAAGGTTTAAGTTGCAACTGAAAACA